GTAGAAATAGTACTTTTCAACCACATAGTTTTTTTCGTTCTCAATTGATAAAATACTTAAAATGACTCAGATGTTATTGTGCCATTGTTCTTACAGCTTCAGTGTCATTACTGTACACACAACCTAAAAACTTGTAAATAATGAGCGATTTTCAATTATTAATAAATTTGCAAAATCTTTAACAGATCTTAATTTTGAAATTTGATTCATTAAACAAATGCGCAAACAACGGCGATAAGTTTGCCGTAATATCTACAGGGTATTTTGATTGAAGTTTTTGAACTTCTTGGTAAATTTCATCGCCCGAAAGAGATATCAAAACTTGTGGCTGAATCTCCGTGAAAATTGATACTGTATCTTTCAATCCAACGAGTCGTCGCTCCAGCTGGTTAATGACACTATCTAGGAATCCATCACTGACATTAAGTTTGTATCTTTGATCGCCATTAGTGAGTCGTTGATACTCGTCCTCCATATAGTTTCATTTTCGTCACTCGTTATCGCAAAATTTCACTTCTACTTTTCAGACTTGGGATAATTCCAACGTATCGTTTTTCAAATCATCATCCGAACAGTCTTCAATTCTTAGAAAGTTCCATCTAGTAAATTCTACGCCGGTTGCAAATCCATATCAGGGCTTTGAAGGTACCTATTTCGAAACAGTGTTTATTGATGTCGTTGTAGCAATCAACTAGAACTGTTTAAATGTAGTAGCCTACTACATGGAAACCAATTTCAAAATTTTTCGAGTTTCATTCGCTTCTAGAATATGTAATTTTTGTTAAAGCTTACAAAATATTAAAATAGCCTAATCTTATAGCTGTAAAGGTATCGTTCCGTGATGACCATCAGATAGCTCTTTCGGACAATAAGATTTACAGATATACCTGGCACAAATTCGTTTTCATGTAAGATTATTCTTTTTATCTACATGCATCATTGTAGTAATATGTTCCATCAATTAATGCTATGACCAGACATCAATTAGTATCAGCAAACCAGTAAAATATTTTAACTTCTAACGTACCATATTTTAACTAAAACTAAATTATCGGTAAAGGACAGTTTGAAAAACATTTCGATGTTAAATAGAACTAAGAACTTCTGAAGTAATGGTTCTTGTGCTTACAAAAATATGGACTTTGATGGAAAATAACGTTTTCGTGGAAATGTGTAATGTCTCCATCTGGACAACCGTTTGTTTAAAATGGGGTACTCGCATTAAAATGATTATACAAGACATTTATTACAAAAAATTTAGAAAGTCAATAATCAAATTAAGTAAACTATGGCAAGTACGAAACAAGAATAAACAGCTTGCCACTTCGTAAATTTGTTTTTTATTAACATTCTAGTTTGTACAGGAACAAAATACGACCGAAATCACACACAAAAGTCACAAATAAAGGTGTCATCCCTTCTTCAGCATTGGAACAGGTTTCATGGTCCCAACCTTGTCAGGTACCACACACTATCCAGCGGACAGTTTTAGATAAATGACTTATTTCGTTTGGAATTTGGGGACCTAAATTGCACGGGGCCCCTGGTCATAAGTCATGCCAGTTCCTATGGAAGTTACGCCGCTGCTACCACAAGCACACGGAGAACGATTATTTGTTTAACTGTATTCCCCATTGAGTACAAGAAATCTTGAACATACAGTGAAGCTACATTTACGTCCGAAAGCCAACACTAGAGGGCATTTCAGCATTTGTTAAAATGACCGCGAAAAGATCTGTGCTTCTAGCTGAAGAATAACCATCCAACCTCCAGATGGAAAAATTAGAACTGAAGTTTCCTTTCCACGATGTCTCATCTATTTAGCGTCTACCGCGCGCCGTGGCTCTGCATTCGCTGTAGGAAGCTATTTAGGTCAATTTAACGACCGTTTCGGGGCTGATCACAGAGAGGCCGAAAGACGCGTTACCTCAAGAGCTTGCCCCCATTAACAAAGAACTGAAATATGGTTTCAATCCACGCACTTTCTGTAATCTGTAGTTGATCGAGACAATTGTAACGAAGACTGGAGGCCTTGCTCTGGCTTCTTGTTCACGCGGAACCTAGGGCCGATCGCCTGAGATTCCTGAAGCAACGAACCGTCGCTTGGTCCACGCTATAGTAAAATATAAATATCTGTCCGAAGGTGTAAACGTTTCTAAAGCGTTTAATTGCCGAGTTGTTTTTCAAGCATTTGACCGTACTGACAATTTTCTACGACAGGAGCAGATCTGACACTGGCTGAGATAACATGCGAGAAACTTTACTGTTCGGCTTTTCGTACGGGACAAGATGATGATGTGTTGTCTTCTACACGAGATTGCTGTTTACCTAAGATCTTCGCGTCGCAGATGAAAACTATCATAAGGTGGCATTCAGCTGAGCACATTCGGCATTCGCCGAGCAGCGAGCTACTGCTCGCCCAATCCCGAACAGATGTGTTTTGCGAATGTTCGCTCCCTTTGATGTGTCCTGAAGACCGACTCACGGTGGGTAGGGCGAATACCGAATGTTCGGCGCTGGGCGAATCGCAAGCAACCCGTCCACACTACTCGGTTTCGCCGAATGCCGCATGTGTGGAGGCGCCTTTTATGCGAAACTGCGCACGAGCGTTCTTGGCCGTTCCGCATAAAGATGGTGTTAATCTACGACGCGCATTGCGCAACGCTCGTGTAACGAGTCTAAGGGTCTTCCCACGTCTAAATGTAGAGGGTGCATGGATCTGGTTTGGATGTACTCTGAGTTATCACCCTCCGAACCAACTTTTCGGGAACTGTTCCAGCCAGTTCTTTCAAAGTTTATCATGCTGACAGTACTACCCTTCATTCAATGAAGTGTTCTGGAACTTAAGCACAGATAGTTAACGTGACTACGCCAGTCTAGCATTATCAGCCGGTTGAACAGTGGGACTTTCTCTTGGTTGGCGGTTGGGTATATTTCGTGAGTGTTCACAAGTATTGAGTCACATGTGAAATTCGTGGGGCTTGAAAATTGTGTATTTTCTGCTGATCAATTAGACCATATCACATGAACTACAATAAATTCATGTAAAATAAGGTACTTTCGCGTAAATGTATAATGCCTTTTTAAGAAATTATTCAGTCCATTTCTGCCCTTTACGAGCCCACTATTGGAGGAGTAAAGGGGGGCTACATAATTCATGCCTAATAATGTGTACAAGTTTGGTCAAAATTGCCTGGTATATTAATTAAGTTGGACATATATATATATATATATATATATATATATATATATATATATATATATATATATAAAAATATAAATGCAATAAATAATTAGAAAATATATTCCACAATTTTATTTATATTTCACATTATCCCTTTATAGACATCTGGATCAAGATTGAATTGCCTATATAACTCCTGTCAAAAGAAAACATTTTCAACAATTCTATTCAAATAAATGTTTCAAGTAAAGAACTTTGTTTTTACATTATTTTTCTTTTAATCTCATTCTTTTTTAACTTCCTGATATGGGTAACAACATTAAACTAAAGTATAGGCAATATATTTGCAATAGATATAAACATTATGCAGTATCTCACATGTATCTTTTCTATAACTGTTAATTAACAAATTAACACTACTTTCAAATCCAGCACACTGGCCAAATTCTTTGTATGAAAACATCGAGGAAGTGGGACACCTATAACACCCTATTGAAAAATGCTGGTTTTGCCAGTGTCATTTACATATACTAGGGAGAGTGCAAGATCATGTGGGAGACCATGCTCAACTGGCAATGAAACAGACTCGTAGGTCCTGAATAATGTCATTTCATACCACCAAGCAATTTCTACTCTGATTCTGATATTTAAAATTAGGAAACACTTATTTGTAAAAATGTAATATGAAATTGTCAAAAATTATTTTAAAATCTAACATCCATTTAAAGTGCATCAAAAGATACAGCAATCACAATTAAGGCTGCAAGTTTGTTTTTGCACTAAGATACTGCTTTAATATTGTAACTAAACACTGAATAATTTTTTTGAAACAGGGCCTACTATGCTTTATCAGTCACTTAATAGTCAAATAAAGAAAGAAGGAGGGGAGGAAAAAAATCATATTTTCATTTGTGATTCTCTCAATGTATTAATTAGTTATTTAGTTCCATAAACTCCACAAGGTAAAGATAACTGCTACCCATTAATCAGAACTTTTTGCTTCATACTCAAATAGAAATGTAACACACACTTCACTTTGTCAACTTATATTCTATGATTTATTAGTATATTTGTTTGGTTTACAAAAAGCATATATATATATATTTATATAACTCGAGAAGAAAAATCAAATTACCTCCTCCTCGGAAATAACAAAAAATATCATCTTTTACATACCGCAACACTGTTTGAAACTGTACTCAAATAGAAAGTTATAGGAAAGGAGAGAAAGTTTTCTTTCTTTGCACCGTGTTTGTTAGATTAACATGCAAATTATCATGAAGTCTATACTGTTGTGTCTAGGCACACAAAAGCTGCTCAGTCATCTATGTACAAATTACTCAGTGCATCAATCTGAGCATTCAGTTCAATAGCAAATACTATGTACAGTCACAGTGAGTTAACTGATAACCCAAATAGATATATCAAGCTTTACATTCAATAGAAATATTCATATTTACATTCTGGAGTTACTTCAAAAAGCGTATTATGTTACATAGTAAGTTTTACTAGCTGATATGTGATAACTATCATCTCAATGTACAAAGTATTCATAAAGTTGTATAATCAGTCCTTATCACAAAGCACCTATTCAGTGGAAAAATATAAACTCAATTACTGGATCTGCATTAATATTAAATAAGACTTTGATTCAACAATAATATAACTTATTCCAAATACTTGCATGATTCATAACAGCACTATACACTTATATTGTCTACCACGTTCCAAATCTGCAAGTTTATACAGAAATATGTATTAGCTCCCATGTAAAAGAGAAAGTTACACTACATGAATGCACAATTTATATAAATACATACATTAAACAATAAAAAATTTTGAATAAAAAAATGAGAGCAATACCCATTATATATATATTTTTTTCTTTTTTCTAATTTTCCTTTAAAAGGTAACAATACACTGAAACATGTACGATCAGATGCACAACCTGAACTACTAACTTCTTCCAGATATATTAAAGAAAACATTTCATATTTAGAAAAATATGATTCACCTCTTACCTAAAAATTAAGATTTCTTTGAAAAGCTGCAAATATATAAATGTAATCATTACGTAAGACCAAAAAGAAATGATGATTCATCTCTGACAAAAAACAAATAGCTGTCTGCATTTCACAAAATGTCACTTGTACTTTGGTTGCTATGCTAATTACATTCAATTTATTCTTATTTTCTCTTTAAAGTTGCAGAACAAAACAAAATGAAAATAGTTATGCAAATTTTAAAAAATGAACTCAAACAGAGCAGTTTCAAATAGCTATATGGGCAAAAAAAATGGAGAGTTAATTATCTATACATATTTATTCTTAGATTATTATATTAATTCAGGCCATAAAGCACATTGAAACCTAAATTTGCATTCAAGATTACCGATTTTAATTTACATAAATGCCATTTTATTGAATATGTACAGCAATTAAAAAAAATAACTTTGAATCTATCTGAGGTCTCTGACCTTTTGGTACTCTTATAACTAAAATGTTTTAATATGTTCTCAACAAAGCTTGAAAATCAGAACTGACAATGTTACAGAGGCTGGACGGACAGGAGCAGTTGCAGAGATGAACACCACCAAAGGCCTATTTTCCTTGATAAAAAATTATATAAAATTTGAGCACATTTTACATATTTAAGGATAAAATGACTACAATATTGACATTTTAAATAAATATGAATACCTAAATGTTTCATAGACATTTCACAAATTTTGTATTTACAATTGCCTTTCACAATGTCACAATATCAAACATCAGTTCACATTTTCTGCTCTATCCAATCATATCCTTGAAAGAAAAAAGTTGAGCAGAGAAAAGTTTATAAAACCCTAGTCTTGTCACCAACATGCTAGAGTTCAGAAATATTTGATGCAAGTATCACATTACTATTATTGGCACAATTCATATAACTGATGTACCACACTATTATTAGCATTTGAACCACTTCATTCACCATTACATGTGGTGCCAATACAATTATAAAAATATGTTTTGTCTGAAAAGTAAAATTATTGTGTCAAAATCACTCAAAGAACAAAAGTATGCATATGAATTCTTCCAAATAGGGAGATGTTTTAAAAATTAGCATATAGATAGCAATCACTACACATACCCATAATACAATGAACAAGTTGGCACTTGAATGCATATGAGAAATAATCCACTCAATTGAGCAATTTCTTCCTCTCAGAGGTAGAATTTTCATTTCAAATCTCTCTCTCCTGTCATATTATTTTGTTTTCAGATGACTTAGAACAATGGAATATCATATTGATCTGCACATAAGCAGAACTTTCTACCCACAGACTTGCCTGAATGAGCTTCATTCACCCAAAACTTGTCACAAACGTGCATCATACTTAACAAATTTCATTATTTATACACAATATACTCATTTCCAACTGTCAAATTAGATTAAATTACAAATGAACACTTAAGGAAAAATACACAAGCATTTGAATATCAATATTTAATAACAAAGGTTCATAATTTTGTTCTATTATAGCAATAAAATTTAAATAATCTGTAACTAATGCAAAGGCAATAGAGAGCTGTTTCTTGTAGAATTGAAATGGATCAAGGGTCTTTCAATGAATGAGTAAACTTTACAAAATATAAACGAAACTTTCAAGACACAGAATTACAAAATTCCACCCATGATTATACCTGTGCTCTCCAGGTAACAACAAAAATAATATAATTCTACACTTTAATAATTTTCAAATGCAAGATGTCACAAGTTTAAATACTAGTATTTTAATTGTAATTGCCTTCTCATAAGCGTAATAGAACATTCCTTTACTACAAAGTAAAAAAGGGAAGGTAATAGTACATTACTTTACTGCCAACTTATTAACTAATTGACACTAAAGCAACTTGCTAATAAACTGACAGAAAGTCTTAATTTTTTTCTTTCAACAATGACCTTTTCCTGGACTCTCATTTTAATTTATTAACTGCAATCAATGACAATAAATCACAAATTGCACAGGATCACGACTGACATTTTTGTGTACAATGTAATCCTTGTTTCTTGATAGAAATATGGGATGGCAGACACCATCTACTAAGGACATTCAGCAACACAAAACACGAGCAAATAAAGCGAATCATAAAATCTAATCTTGAACTTTAAGACTCTTTACAAGTTCACAATCACAAAATATGCAAAGAAGTTTGATATGATTAACTTAAAGCTCGCTTTGGGTTTGCCCTTAATTAAATATCTAGTATGAATATACAGAAATGTATTTTCTTAGAAAAGGCTTGAATTTCGTGGACTAGTTTTCGCTACCTTCAAAGAAGGAATAATAATATTCAAGACTGAGCGATGTTTACATTTATACTAAGGTTAAATGAAAGAATAATTTAATTTTAATTTATGAAATGCACTTTTTAACAAATACTAAGCACATCCTTATTTACATGAGCATAATTAATATCATGTGTTCAAATTTATGACAGGCAAAAACTATGACTTCGGCTTTCCTTTATGTACATAAAGACTTGCTTAGAATATTTCTCTCTATAAAACCCAACACACTTATGCTGGAGCTATCGAAACTTAAGGAACTACTATATCATATGCTGTAATTAAAATGTTTCCATAAATTGACAGCTTATGTACACAAATTGATCATTTTCAAACAATCATTAAGTGAGAGGAATGAAATGAACCCTGCAAAAATATATTACTGTTAAGAAATGACATATCCTCAGTCATCTTCTAAAATAAAATTAAGTGGTAAGCAGAAGTCTAAATAAACTGCCACACTTTTTTAATGAAGGCAATTTGCAATTAAAACACTGTACAAATTCACTGGATCATGACTTGTCTTGTAAGTTCCCTTATTTTTTTAGAGAATCGAAACAATTAACTCACCATAATCATCATAAAAAAGGTCATTGTACACTTATTGACTTCAAGGAATATTATTGTCAAATGAAATCACTGAAAAAATTTGTACTTGTGAGGAGTGGATTTACTCACCATGCCTCTTTAAATATTACATACCTCCCCCCAACACAAACAAAGAAAATTCTGTTTTCCAAAAAATTTTGTAATTGAAACTGGAAATACATTTGGTCTATTAAAAAAAACCACAAAACCAACCTTATTTTGACCCAAATAGATCCTTTAAATCACACTCCTACAATTTTTTTTTGGCCACACAGGCCAATTGTAAACCTGTCTTGCGCTACACATCCAAAATTAATTGACAAAAATTTTTGAGTAATTAATCACCATATATCATTAAAAGTCTGCTTTAATGAAAACTACAGATCATGGCAGATTAAAATCCATTTTTCTAAAATGTTTTCTTTCTTATTCCTTGTTTTCTCTCATTGAATTATAGTGAGCCAAGAGTATCTATGGATCTTTCAGCACCCTCCAAATTATGTAAGATAATAAGTAAAATTTCAAGAAAAACTAATATAATTTTATATATGCAAGATAAAAATACCACATAGCTTTAACATGTTATATAGCACGGTATTTACTGGAATTAGCACGTAACTATTAAGAATTTCACTCTTGTAATCAAAAGAATAATTATGCATTAATAAGGTCAAAAACGTAAATAAATTAAAAACAACTTTGGAAAAACATGCACCGTTGAGCTGTATATCTCCTGTGCTTGACCTTAAATCTCCTGCATATTTTCTAACACATCCCACAAATAGTAACAAATTGCATTTACCTATTAAAGCAAATAATCTGGCAACATTTTTAACAAACAGCTTATTAAACATGGCTGTACACATATGTAGACAAAATAATTTTTCAGAAAGCACTAAGAAAAAAAGATGTTCCTCAATGCTCAAGAAAGATCGCTTTCACCACAATGAGATATGACAAAAAGATCCACAATAAATTATGATAAAAATTGATTATTACCTCACAACCAAATACATTAACACATACTAACAATGTTGAAGTGAATTTCATCTCAGAATCATACAAAAAGCATTAGTCTCCTCCTTCCTCTCTCCAAATAAGGAGGGTCCTAAATAATTCCATTTCAAAATGTTAACAACCTTTTTAAAGTAGCATAAATCCAGCATTGTTTTTGAGTAACTATGTTATTTTCATTCATTTAAAAATACAATGAAGACTATTCAGAAAATTTGTTTAAATTCATCCATGAAGTCCCAACATTAAGCTCAGAAATAAAAGGCTAAATAGATGAGAAAATTTCAATGAAACTTTAAGTAAGCTAGTGAAATCCCAGTTTTATTAGAACAATGGTAAAATAGTTACTTATATTCGCAATGCTGTAATGTTGTTTATTACATTGAAAATTATACAAAACTTGGATTGAATCACCCAAATCAAAGATAAATTAGAAACGAAGGTGAAAATGCATAACAACAGAGACCAGATGTCATAACAAAAAACAGCATTATAAATAGTAATACTTTTTGACCATCATAATTCATTAATCAGCATCTTACTTAATATGAAGTAATCTGGAGTGTGCAATTGCACTGGTATTGGATTTCTGGAAACTAGTTTTGAAGAAACGTATCTGTACCAGAAAAGAATGTGGGAGCAAAGCTCAAAATTGATTGATTAACGTTTTTGATTTTCGATCCTTGCTTCTAGATCATGAATAATAAACCAATTACCATGAAAACAAAAATCTCATCACTCTATTCAGAGCATGAGAAAGGAGCAGGAGACTGGAAAGGAGGGAAGATATTTGAGAGAAATTTGATTATGTAAGAAGAAAAACTTCATGTAGTGCTCAAAATTTCAAAAGCATAAGAAATAGTAAGAAAGCAAATAAAGGAAAAACAAGATTATATTAAAAACAAACTTTTGACAGAAAGACAAGTACAAAAATTGCAAGAATAATATTACAGAAGACTTATTTAGCATAATAAAAACATGAAAATAAATATTTGGGCAATGTTCACCTTTTTAATTAATATCAGCATTAACATTAGACACTAAATTAATGTTTTTAATAACTTCAGCGAACACATCCATATTTACTAATTAAGTCAAATTTAGTGTGTATTTATCTTTCAAAACCTGAAAGCAAAATATTCTAAAGAGGTCTAAGCAAATAGCAAAAAAGAACCCTACAAGTGACTAGATACATCTTTACTGTCCCGAATACTTATGGACATAATTCTTTCAGTGTACATTTATTCTTGTCCACAACACCAACTCATTCAGTTAAAAAATTATAGAAGGGATAGAGAACAACATAAATAGTGAAGATGAAAAGTGCTAATACAGAAGAGAAGAAAAAGTAATGACGACAGGGTAGATGTATATTTGATTCTCTTATACTGTTAACATTTAACTTAATCAACACTTTATCAGTTCTTAAAAGATAGCATCAAATATGTTATACATATTTTCAAATATCCTCATGAAATCAATTCTATAATTAATCTGCCTAAAAGCAATTTCTGGTCCCCTTCCATTTATCTTCACAATGGCACCGAGTGATAAAGTTAAAATTGAAAAATACATATTCCATGTTTTTTCATGGAGGATACAAATATTAAGTGATTGTTGCATGTCAAAGAGTTGCTCTCCATCACGCTGATTCGAAAGGGGTGTAAAAAATATTCATGAGATCAGCAACATTTCAACGATACCCATGCCAGTGCAATCTCTCTAAAATCATGAGTCCAATTGAACGAAATACAACCAAATGAAAGCTCACCTTGCTGAAACCAAAAAATTATAAAATGAGAAAGAGTTGTCTTTTTGAAAGACTATAATGGAACCAATGAGGTAATAAAGACTACCTCAAGCACATATTGAAGCAAAACACATCTCAATATGATTTACAATACTCCTTTGTACAAGTCACACAACTTACATTATTACAGAACCATGTTTTGTTGAAATAACTTGTTAGTATATAAAAGGTTATTATCCTTTTATGTAATGTTCTACTTGCAAGCACTGAACTAGACTCTCTAAATTTATTCTGCAATTGTTTCTTTCCCAGCGATAACACAATTAGATGCCACCTAGAAGAGCACAACACTCTACAGGACGATGATTATTTTAATTTTCAATCCTGGCCTACCCACACATCTCAAATATTTCATATTCTTATTAAAACTACTGCGCAAGTAGGCAAGAATTTCAGCATTCTCCTCCAGTTCTACCAGAGTCCATTTCAAATTAAAATGTTCAAATAGACAATTCATGCATAAGTATTTTTCTAATAAAGTATTATTTCTACTGATTTTTAATAAACAAGGCTTATTATGATTAACATAAAACATCAAACAACATGATAGGAACACAAGTGGAGCATAATTTTAGTGACCATATATAGCTGCAAAAATTACCAGATACTTAACAAAATGAATAGCCACTGGCACCTTACTTACTTCAATTTCCCAATAATACACTTTTTAATCAGTAGTTTATAAACAAACACATTCTTCTCACTTCAGCTTGTATGTTGAAGCTTCACCACTGCTGTCAGCACCAATCAGCCATGTAGGTAAAATCTTTGAAAAGGGCCTGCTCTTCATCAGTCAAGGGGCGAGGATCTTTTGGAGGAGTGAGTTGGGGTTTTTCAGAAGTAAACTCTTCATCGAAGTTACTGACATCTTCAAGAGAATTCTGAAAAGAAGATTCACAATTCGTATGTTATATACAAAAGATTACTTGCAAAAAGTGTTATAAAGGTTGTAAAAACAAAACATGACAATGTATAAAAAGCACTGTAGAGCTTTTGCAACACAATGTGCCAATCAACAAGACTGCACAAACTCTTGGTTTGATGTCCAGCATGTGTGAATCTGCATTTAGTAAGAGATGAAAATGAAAAACAAAACCAAATCTCATTGACAGAAGTGTGCACAACTACCAAGATGAAGATGACAAAAAATATTTTCTTAGCAAAAACCTCAAATTTGGAAGCTTCTACCCTTATTACTTGTGAAATGGAGATGTACAAGTTCACAGTTCACAACTAGATAATGCACAAGTTATTCGATTTTGAGTATGTTCTGTGAAAGAAGTGTCAAAGAATCAAGAGGCCACAAACAAGAATACATAGGAAGAAAATCCAGTGTTAAGAGAAGGGAATGTTCTTAGGTAGCGTAAGATGAAAGAAGAATGGAAATTTAACGCTTCAAAACTTTCTGGAGGAGCTGAAATGAGGGAGCATGTTGCAGTATAGAAGAAGGACCAAAATGAAAAAATAAAATAAAACCATGATAAATATGAAGAAGGAAGCAACAAAAACCATATTTCAGATGATAAGTTACAAGAAAATAGTGACAGCTCAAGCAATACTAAGTTTTAACATTCTCATCCACAAGACAATTTTCAAGCCAATTAGATGATATGCAATGTCAACTAATTAGAAATAATTATTATTTATTTAATTTTTTAAGTGGAGTTGGATCGACTGGGGAATATCCATTTCTAAAAAAAATCTCACGTATGCTATGTGATCAAAAGTAACCAGACACATCTAAAAACATACTTTTTCATTTTAGGTGCATTGTGCTGACACCTACTGCCATGTACTCCATATTAGCGACCCCAGTAGTCAATAGACATCGTGAGAGTAGAATGGGGCACTCAGCAGAACTATCGGACTTCAAATGAGGTCAGGGGATTGGGTGTCACATGTGTCAGAAGTCTGTATGAGATTTCCACTCCTAAACATCCCTAGGGCCCCTGTATTTGATGTGATAGTGAAGTGGAAATGTTAAGGGACACATACAGCACAAAACGTACAGGCTGACCCCATCTGTTGACTGACAGACTGTTGACAGTTGAAGAGGGCCGTAAAGTATAATAGGCAGACATCTATCCAGACCATCACACAAGAATTCCAAACTGCATCAGGATCCACTCCAAGTACTATGACACCTAGACACGAGGGGGGGAAACTTGGATTTCATGGTCAAGCAGCTGCTCATAAGCCACACATCAAGCAGGTCAATGCCTGTGATGTGGAGTGAATCACAGTACAGAACATGGCAATTTGATGGCAGGATGTGGGTATGGCGAATGCCCAGTGAACGTCATCTGCCAGTGTGTGTAGTGCCAAAAGTGAAATTTGGAGGTGGTGGTGTTATGGTGTGATCACAAAGGAGGCTTGCACCCCTTGTAGTTTTGTGTGGCACTATCATGGCACAGGCCTACGTTGATGTTTTTAACACCACCTTGCTTCCCCCTGTTCAAGAGCGATTTGGGGACGACAATTGCATTTCTCAACATGATAGAGCACCTGTTCATACTCCATACTACGGTGGAGTGGTTAAATGACAATAACATCCTTGTAATGAACTGGTCTGCGCAGTCATAACTTGAATTCTATCACACACATTTGGGATGTTGTGGAACGCTGACTTTATGCCAGGCCTCACCAACCTACATCAATATCTCTTCTCAGTGTAGCACTCCGTCAAGAATGGGCTTCCATTCCCCAAGAAACCTTCCAGCAACTGAATGAAAGTATAGCCATGAGAGTGAAAGCTAAGGGTGGACCAACATGCTACTGAATTCCTGCATTACCGAAGACGCCATGAACACGCAAGTCATTTGCAGGCACATTACAACAAAATCAGCATGAAGAGGTCAACATGAACTCGAATTTTTTAAAATATGTTTCATGTACAGGAGGATGTCTACAATGAACCGTCCATTATTCAAGTCAAGATCAACAAGTTGCCAATCAGTGTGGAAATTGACTCAGGGGCAGAAAGATTCATTATGCTTGCACAGGTTTTTCAAAAAACAATTCCCAAACAAATGAACAGAAATCAGCCATTTAAGTTGTATGATGGTACCACTGCGGATCCCTTGTGACAGTTCACTGCTAATATTCAACAAGGAAATCGCACAACTCTTGGCACATTAATAGTCCTCGAACACGGAAAAAGAACATTATTATGATGCAATCTCATTGCCAAACAAGGGATCAGTGTAAATTACACAAATAATGTTCAAGAGAATCGAGATAAGATCTCAACTTGTTTCAAGAATTTCCACAATTGTTTAATGGAAAGTGCTACCTGTGGACCAACTGAAGTTGTTTTGAAGGAAGGGGATAAACCAATTTCACAAACCATTAGAACTACCTTTTACATTGAAGGATTGGTTCAGCACAAAATAACATGATTTAGATGAGACACGAATTATTGAGAAGATTGACAACAGAAAGTGGTGAACACCTTGGAGGTGCTTGAAGATGTCAAAGAACCTTTTCTGAGAACCAAGGAAATTTTTGCACAATTATGTGGAGGTAAGCATTTCATGAAACTGGATATAGCAACAGCTTACAATCAACTGCAAATCACTGAAGAAGGCAGCAAACTGTTGGTGTGGAGTAACACAGTGGAGTTTATAACTGAATATATGCTGTGAAAAGTGTACCCATTGGACGCAAACCTGCAACAACTTTTCCAGAGACAAACGAAAGGTGCAAAAGGTATTGCAAATATTTTGACAATTTAACAGTGACAGGTACAAACAAGGAGTAATGAAATCTGAGACTGAAGCGGTGAAGAGATCTAATCAAGTGTCTATAAGTCTAAGATAATTGAATGGATCATTAACAGCTGTCCAAAAAGAACAATCAAACTGCCAAAACACTTGAATCTTTAAAGATTGATTGACTGATTGATTTATTGCATTTAGTTAATCAAATGACATCGTATAACGATAGTTTCTTGAATTTAAATGCATATATTTTTTTGATTTTTGAGGGGAACAAGTGAGAGGTTGCCAATGGTAAGTAAGTTGGCTAACCTGTTGTTAATGAAGCAAGTACTAATTATTAAAAGGCAATAACATTGACGATGTGAATGTAAGTCTCATTCATGTTGAAAATCTGCTAGTTTTATTACATCAAGATCTCACAGTAATAACGCTAATACTTGAATTCATTAATAAATTAAATATAAATACATCCAATCCACACAAATATTGTCTTCCATCATTTCATTTCTTAGATTTAAAGTTACAGATATCTCAAACCTTTTCAAATATTGGAAGACTAGATTGGAATATAAAGCAATATGATGTACTACAGAAAAATCTGGAGATTCAGAACTTACAACAGTGGGAATAAAAGGAGGCTTCACACGTCTCAATAGTAAATCATCCCAGTGTATATTTCGAAAAAATGCTTGCTTTTTAACATCTTCAGCATCACGCTCACTGGATCCCAATCGTCTTTCAGGATTCTTCCTTAATAACTGAAAATAATAAAATCATATTCGATCAATCTTCATACTCCTTAAATCTTAACACAAGAAGAATGTAATACATACCCTTCTCATAATGGCTATAGCTTCAAGTGATAAAAATCTAGGATAACGAACTTCATCATTCACAATGGAATCAAAAACTTCCTCTTCATCATCACCAGGAAATGGTGACTAAAACATTAAATAATGAACAAATTTAGCATATGCAAGAAACCAACAATAACACAATAATTATAACAATCACTCACCTCCCCTACCAACATTTCAAAGATAAGGACACCTAATCCCCACCAATCAACAGCTCTTGTGTATGATGTTTCCGTTAATACTTCAGGAGCAAGAAACTCAGGAGTGCCACAGAATGTCCCTGTTCTGTCTCCAAAACCCATTCCTTCTTTGCACAATCCAAAATCAGCAATTTTAACATACCCTTCAGTATCTAGCAATAAGTTATCAAGCTTAAGATCCCTGAAAGAAGAAAGAAATTTAAATGTTTTCACCCACTTTCTCTCTCACAAAAAATTAAAACTTTTGGAGATGAAACATACCTGTAAATAATTCTACTCTCGTGTAGGTACTGGAGTCCCAAAACTACACAGGCCGCATAGAAAACAGCTCTTGGCTCAGCAAAAACATCAGCGTGTATATGCATCATCAGATCACCACCAGCTGCATATTCCATGACAAAGCAGACATGACCCTTCAAAATTAAGCATAATAATACATTAATGGACTAGAACCCCATGTACATACACATTTACATGTAAGAATCGTGCATCACCACTCTGTGAAAACTGTTGTACTATTTTGAAAGCTAAACAGAGGAAATTTATGACTGAAATAATTACTCCCACGTACCCACTCGAGTAACATAAATTTCGGCTCTTGCGCAGGTCGCCCTGCACCACACCAGGATCATTTGAAAGTTATACAATCTTAAAGGGACTTTACATATGTATAATTGTGAAAAACATATAAACATAAAACGCATATCAGAAATAATCTAGCATGGGGATTATAGGAATTTATCTGCCAAAAGAACGTATAAACGGATTTCCACTCTAATCAGCTAACCATTTCCATATGAGACTGATGTAATAAATGATAATTAATTGATAACTTCAGAAAGCATACTCAATAGCTCAAAATAGAACATTGAAATTTCTTGATAATGTACAAATTACTTCATTCTTCCGATTTGTGACTCCACCCTGAAGCACAGGCCTGACCCCTCCCCTTTTTATTTGTTTAGAAAACTGAAGCAGTACAAAATAAATATAATAAATCATATATATGTATATATTTAAATATTATTGAAAAAAATGTATAATTTGAAAATTTTGAGCAACAAAAAAATCTGTGGCTTTTAAACACCAAATTCCCGGTTAGAATGAAAAATATAATTGACAACAAAATTTTCTAACAGATAAAGAAATTTGAAGTGAGGATGCCATGTTTCTTGTGAAAAAGATGTGCATTTAGATGATCAAATAAATAAGTTTAGTAAAACATACGTGGAAACATTCACAGGAATATAATAAATAAAAGACCTAAAGATACATGTATAAAGTTCTTTAATACTATTGTTGATCCTGTACTTGTGTATGGAAGTAAAACAGAAGGTATCTTGGAAGAAAAAAAAAAACAAGTGAAATTTAGATGGCAGAAATGAAATGTTTCTGAAGTACTGTAGGATACACTCTCCTAGGTGAAAAGAGTAATGTAGATATAAGAAAAGGCTGAAAGTCATGTCCGGATTCGATAAAATATCTATTAATAAAAACAAATAGTGCAAACACTTGGAAAGTATACCAAATGAGAGATTGCTAATATTAACTCTTCAATATTTCTTACACGAAAGGAGAGAGACATAGGTAGGCCCAAGACGAAGTGGGCACTGGAAATGGTTGAAGCCTAATCCTTGTTGGTGGAAAAAAAAAGAAGGAAAGAAGTCGAAAAAAGGTGTCCTTAGACAGGAATGATGCGCCCATGATGCAATGATGTGGGTGAGCTCTTTCTGTTGCAACAATTTTTGCTTGTTCTGCATAGCACCAATACATCACAAAATACATGACCACAACACAGGCATATCCTTAGTTTGAAAAGGGAAACCAGATGCTGACTACCATGCTGCACATGAAGCAAGCAAACTGAGAAACATTTTGAAAGTGGCATAAAATGACAATTTTCAACAGTCACCCAGCTTCAAATATCTGTTTTAATGACTTGCAAGGTGGTAATTGCAATCTGGCTGAATTTAAAATTCCTGGTAATGTTGTGATGCAAACTGGCGTATGAAGCTCATTGCCGGAAGCCAGATAGGCTATGCAACAGTTCACTCAAGGTAATTGAATCATCGTTGAGCCCATTACACAGGCGAATGAAAATTTTCAAGAAATACAATTTGTTTACTTCGCTGCTTTGGTAATTTCTATATATTTTTAAATATCTATAATCTTTTCAATACCCCAAATTTCTCAGATACAACATAGGCAAATGATTTTTAGATACACAATTTATACAAAATGTTTTACAACATAAAGAGAAAATATTTGGCAATGCTTTTCAAAATATGGCCTCCAGGAAGTAAGTGATAATTAGACTTTCTACTGTTTTTTTATGATGCTGAATGCCTCCTAGATTTCTAGCAAAATGATTATGTAGCCTTCAATGAAAAAATCTTTGGCGAGAGCAAAGAAAGCGAATTGCAATTTAAATGGAACAAGATCTTACTTAGGGGTAATAATATAAGAAATAATGAAAACCATAACACTTACTTCTGTCTGATAGCAAGCAAATAAATTCACCAGGAAAGGATGGCGCATTGTGTTAGCAACTTCAAAAATTCTTTTCTCAGACAACAAAGATTCTACTTCATCTCTGGCAATTATATCTCCTTTCTTCAAAGCTTTTATTGCAAAATATTCTCCTGTATTGCGATACTGGGCAAGTATCACCTGAAATTGAAAGACAAAATTGAGATGTTATATTACATAAAGAAATGGAAAACATTAAAAAAATCTCATTAGAACATTTTTTTAAAGGGCTGAAAACATTGAACATAATCAAGAAAATGTGTTGTCGAAAAATGTATAATTTCTTTTTCTCTCAAAATCACAAATATGGTGGAGGCAAATGAAACCCATTCCTATGGCTCTGGGATTGTAGCTATATGAGCTGAATATACTCTCTGAAAGTACCCCTCAATACAATCTGAAAACGATACACACTGAAGACTGTACTCCTGCACTGGAAAAAGTATGATTCATAGATCATGTTATCAACCAACTTGAAACATTCACTGAGATTGTTAAACATGTAAATGACTAATTGGGTCAGGACTTTGAATACAAACACAAATACAAAACACTAACATGTTCTATTGGAAAACTGTTATTCTTGCTTACGGGATAATGGTAATGGGGAACAAGCTACTAAAATTGTACTGTATGTAATAAACAGAAACATTTATAGTATTATACATACACATATTAGAACAAAGAATTGCAGATTAAAAGGTATGATAATCACACACAATTTACAGTAGCTTTGAGCAAAACAGAAAATACTAATCAATATAAAATACAAAAAGATCAAACTTACAATAAATTAAAATATTAGAAACAATTACCTTTCCAAAGTGACCACGTCCCAGGACACTTAGTAAACGAAAATTATCCATTGACATGCCTGTGAAGTGAGAATGGCGTCTTGATTCATACGCACTGTCCCTGTATTCCAAGGGTCGGCGTGGCACTTCCTCAGGTTCATACACCACCTGTATCATCAAAAAGGTCACTAAATACTTTGGGATAATTCTTTTTTCCATAATTTTCAAAGTTGATGGAGATGCATTTTTCACATTTACGAAACTTTAGGGTGTGGGTGGGAGAACGGTGTGTAATTAACTTGAAATCTCTTACGTCACTAACTGATTTTGAGAAAATAATAATAATAATAATAATAATAATAATAATAATAATAATAATAGTAATAAAAATAATTTTAAAAAATTGACTAGCAAAATATTGCATTACAAAAATGTGGCAAAGTGTACAAATCTATTGGAGCACTACGTGCAATGGAGGAAAATAATTTAAAAATATAAAAAGTAAGTGAAAAAATATTACAGCTTACAAATAAAACTTAAATTTAGTTTAAACTTAAATTTAAACTTTAAATTTTAGACACCGTTTTCATTTCATTTTAATTCACTTCTCTCAACATATAATATAAACGTAAGAAATTAAAAATTTCAGTCCTTCTCGATTACTTCAAACATGAGTTAAAATAAATGCAAAATCACTTGTTTTTTAACTCCTGAATTCAGTATGAGCTTACTGAGTATTTTTCAGGTCAGTTTATAATTTTTTCAAAGTATTTATAAATATCACTTCACTCATGCATCCCCACCACACTTCTCCCAATATTATTTTGACCTACAAGCTGAGGGTCATGTACCTCCTCCTCAGGAAACTGGATCACAGGTTGGGGTGAAGGGGAGTGCTGGTGCTGTTGGAGTTGGTGCTGGTGCTCGTTGCTGCCACCAGAGCTGGCACAGGGGCTGGGAGCCACTGGCCGTGCTGGCGATACAGTCCCAGGCTCTGGGGATCCTCGCTCCTCAGCATGCAAGAAATCAAACTCTCGTAAAGCAATCTGCAACATGGGGTAGGGAGTGCGGGATGAGAGCCTACAGCTACTGTGAGAAGCTGAGGAAAACCGTGTGCTCAAAGTAATCCTGCCCTGTTATGGATGTGAAGATTGCTATAAAAGTCTTTTGAGTAAGAAATTAAGATAAAAATTTTGTTTTAGCTACTTTTTTTTCCCACAAAATATGCTTTGAACAATTCTGTTCATACACATTTTTTTGTCAATTCCTTTATACAATACTTTTGAAGACTGGAAAGCTAAAGTACGTGTGTTTAAAAACTTGAAAAAATGCAATCTGAAATGATTTTGATCATTTAAATATTTTTGAAGGCTATAAAAAATGATTTTAAATGACACTCAGCGCACCTGTGTTTTGAAGACACTAAGTGTGCACATGGAAACATTGGGCACTTCAAACCCAGAAACCTTCCTGCTCTACTATTCTACTGCAAAGTATTTCTGCTAATTAGGATGTTCGTCATGTACATCTCAACATTATATTCTCACAGAATATTGTGCAAGATTTCATATGATTTTAGGAATTTAATTTGCTGCTTGTTCTCAATTTTTTGTAAAATAATTCTTTGATTTCCTTGAACATTTGTCAACATCATCCTTGTTTTCTTCTTCTGCTGGATATTTCAGTGCTTTGCCTTGCAACATCAACTTATTTTTCTCCAAAATGCTATCCAATGAAACACTGTATTAAGAATTATGATGTTGCAAATGTTTCAATCACAACCTCGACTAGACCAATTTTGAAATTATAGCAGGAACATACACTGCTTAAGTACATGATGAAGTATCAATGATCCCGACACTGAAATTTCACTAATTATATATATAATATCTTCAAAAGAGAATTTTGTTTTGTACTTGCAAAATACAAAGTTTGCATTTCTGATACCTATCGAATAAAGCTTGCATTTAATGTTTCTCTACCTCAAAACTTTTACAGCAATCTTCATTAAACATAGTTGTGCAAGTGAAACAATGGAAAGCTTTAAATATACAAAACTTCAGAGGTAAACGATATCTACAAATTCCATACTCCAATGCACCTACTTACAACCTCCAATCTAACTACAATACAATTTTCTAAACTATTTACAATATATTACTGAAGAACAAACTTTTTAATACAAGAAATAAATGAAAACCTTCACACCATCATTACATAACAAAATTTAAAAAATTCTCAATGTGTATTTAGGATCAATTCTTTTTAAATGTGAGTTTTAATTATTTTCAAAGCATAAACAATCATCTGTTTAAGTGTGAAAATCTTATCTAGCTAAAACATTCCTGATTGTGTAGGGGTTTTAACATGTGCATTATCCTATCAGTTATGCCAATTATTTCAAATTCTTCAATGTTACTTAATTAATTCTCCAAGACATTTTTCCCAAGTGTTTTCCTCACTACTATAGTCACCATCTTGGATTTGAATGATATTTATTATCTAATAAATAATCAAAACAATGAAACAATATGTATTGTCTTGAAAGAAAGAACAAAGATTCCAAATAATTACAGAAGATGCTGAGATTTTCAAGGCTAGTTCAATTATAAAATAATCAAACAAAAGCATTCCATTCTCATTCCTTGGCGAACACGAAAGTAAGCAAATAGGGAAACAAATGACAAATCAATATTAATAATCTAAACAGATTGAAAGTCGCACAGGTTGATAAGAAAATATTTTGCTCCCATCCATATTTGTCAGCCATGAAATAATATATGCGTAACGTAGCCGATCTCAAAACTTTCTTAGTGACCTACATACTTCAAAATATCTCTTATACATTGATTAATTACCTTAAAATACTGCCCTCTGATCTTATATATAGTGAAAATGTACCTGCATGCACAAATTGTTTCTTTTCCTGCAGTTATGTAGTCAAGCCCACATTTGGGATACAAGGAAAAAAAGAAAGCAAAGTGAAAGGAGAAAAAAAAATGCTCACAGGAATTCTTAGGCGCCAATTACAATCAATTTTCTGACATTACAAAACAAGCAAATCCTTGCCACATGTCATGCAAAAAATTCCAAAATGAACAAAAGCCAAAATAAGAATGGTAAAATAACATTTAAAGACGTGTTAACTTGAAATTTGTAGGTGATTTTATAACACTAATTTTATTGTAACTGTTTGAAGTAAGGGTATTTTCATTTTTGATATCTTTCTATTGAAAGTTTATTTTATGTAGGATTTTCAATACAACATGCTGTAGCAAAACAATGCAGAGAACACTTACCTCCACATCCAATCGAGGAGTTGGAGAAGGTACATGAGGAGGAGATGACAATCTCTTCAGACCGGCAACAGTTGAAGGCAAAATAGCTCCTTGAGTCCCCTCAGACGGGACTGATGGCAATGGTGGTAGCACTGCCACACCAAGGCCCAAAGGTCTAGCACCTGACAAACCACCAGAACCAGGGTCTGGGCTCTCTCCTGGTGCTTCCACTTTTTCTTCTGGTACGTCAAAGGACAACTGCAGTGGCTGCATGCCTCCTGTGCAATTTCACCATTGCCATTATCATTCGCTTGCTAGTTAGTACTCACAGATTGTAGTTGTTAAACCTAACTATGCAATTAAACTTTGGGAGATCTTTCTTAGTACTGACGGCTAGTAATAAGCACATGGCTCAGTATTGCCAAATTCACAAGTTCTTAAATATTCTGAAGTTTCCTGTCCATTATTATATCTTTAATGGAAATCTTAATAATCTGTCTGCAACACAAATCCTGCAGTCCAAACACTTATGTTTCATAACAATCCATGGCACAGACTGCAGGGACTCGTTCACGAAGATGTGAATATTGCGCATTGGCAGGTGCTGCAATAACTTATATCTGATTGGCCTGGTGCTGGTCGTAACCATAGACACAGAGGCACTGACCAACTGTCAATCCCAAAGTTCCATCTCCCGCAGAACAGAAAGTAGAATTTTTAGAGAAATACAGAAACAATTAACTTTTTTTTCTCTTAAATTTAAAATGCTTTAATGAACAATTATAGCATTGATGTTCACGCATCTAATCTGTACTTGGAGGAATCGAGACAATGTTTAATTGAATAATTTCTGCTATTACTAGATCTTAAATGCCTCCTTAATAATAACATAATATTACTGGCTAATTTTTGCCTTCTTAAAATTTTGTTTCTCCAGGACCTGAATCCTAAAAAGTATGTAAATCAGTTCTACTATCAGAAATCTCTGAACCATTTAAAGAAATCTTTAGCAAGTTCAATATTACCTTTTCTGTTTTAAGTCCACGACATCACTCTGCATCACTATTCAAATCTTCAGAAATGTATTTACTCTAGAATTCTCTTGTTCTGCAACTTTATTACAATGATGTAATGTGCAAGGTTAATTAAAAAAATACCTGAAGGAGAAGTTTCCATAACAGGACTTCTGTGTGTATTTTGTATAGAAGGGGATGATCTTTTGAGAAGTCGACCCCACGTTGCAACATTTATATTCATTTGGTTAGCCCTAGGAAAATTTTTAACTTGCTGCTTAAAGATTTTTCTTTGCCTCTGAAGTTTTGGTTTTCTTGATATCATTGGATTCAAGAATTTTATCTGAGAAATAGAAATTATAATAAAGAATGTATCTAAAAATATTCTTTGCATATTATTTTCAAAATCATTTATTGTATTCCATTAAAACAACAATTCAGTCATATAAGAAATTAAATATTTTTAAAATTGATTAGCAAAACTCACCTCAGCGAAGAGCAGTCCTTGGGGCTCTAGCTGAAGAGCCATACCATGACGAATATCATCAATAAATTCTTCCAAACGTAAAAATTTTACCGCACACAGAGAGCGCCAGTCTCTCCAGTAAATTCCTATTTCCAATTCACGTGATTTATCTAGATCAATGGAAAACCTAAAACAGAATAAAGAATCTCATTACAACTATGCAAATTGTACCCAAAATCAGTAACAGAATTTCTGAATTCTATTAACTTTTTTTAATCATAATATATCTTATTTATTTCCAACATTATCCTAAATTGACTGACTGAGAACTGAAAATTCATGATACCTAAGAATGTTTAAACATTTGGTTAAAATGAAGGAAATGTTTTGTTGTTCCATTAATTTTGTGAAGACCAAACTAATATTTATTCCTTAAAAACTAAGATCACTGAGAATATGCATATTATTTGCTTTTGTTTATGTACATACCACTTTAGATTTAACCACTGAACTACTTGAAATAAATTAGCATAATTCCTACCTCTGATCCCAGGCCTGCTGGGAACACGGCCGCCAATTTGTTTGAGCCACAGTCTGATTGTCTAATTTAATTACTGCCATTATGTCATCTATTTAAGACAATGAAAAGAATCCAAATAAAACATGTACCAAACACATTGAATACAATCAGCAACAACAATACAAATAAATACAAGAATTTCTTGATAAACACTTACTACTTGTTTCGTCTTTAACACTGTACGATTTGCTGGAACTGCGACCAGTGACACCTTTGACAAAGGAGCGCAGATCACCAGGGCTAGATGTGGTATCTTTTTCTCTACGAGATCTTCCAGGAACTTCTTCTAACAGGTCTTGACAACCCATTAATCTGAAATAAATATATATTGAACCACTTAGGGTGACAACACATCCAAGCCTGTTAGCAAACAAAATACTACATTTTGATACCATCGAAGATTTATATACAACAAGCTGCTCATTTCGTCTTCTTTCTGTATTTAATTCTTATTTCTTTGTAGTATACTACTTATATGCAGAGTAATATTCATAGTACAGAGAAAGTTATGTAATGATGTGGAAAATCGATGTAGAGATTTCAACAGCGATTCTGAATAACTTTCTTTAATTTTGGGTGGTACTTTACTAGAAGGCCCGAGTCATTTTCAAAATTTTCCCAAAAATGGCACCAAAATTTAATTTTTTTTTGTAAGAATAGCATATAATACGCTTATGAAGGTAGCATACATAAATTTTCACTAATAGCTCCAAATTTTCAAAAATTGCAAAATTCTGACATATTTTTTACTACAAAATTGAAAATAATGCGTTTTTTCCTTGAAATGAAATTTGTAGTCAATAATTAATTCTTTCATCAAGGTCATATATAGGTTTTTGAAAATGTTAGTAGTTTTCACACTATTTGAGTGAAAGATGTGCACTATTAAAAAATAACAAAAACAAGAATTTCTCACAAACTGCTCCAATTTTTATCTTGAAACTTTTGCTAAGGATAGTGCTGAATGTACTTCATAAGATGACATGACTGCCATTTTGTTCTATTTTATTAGTTTAAAAAAAAAATACACAACTGTAAATTTTTTGACTTGTCCCACGTCGTTGATAATTACATTAATGGTTATTTGCATACATTATAGAATTTGCTACAACAGATGCTTCAAATTATGTCTTATAAAGTTTTAAAATCTCAATATTTTCTGTGAAAATGAGCACAAATTTCAAATTTTGCGAAATGCTCAAATACCATTTTCTTGAAACTTTTTGTTTGGATAGTCCTAAATGCACTATTTAAGATGACATTAAAGTCATTTTGCTGTATTCTTGGTTGTATGTTTAAAAAAAATGCACAAAACTAACTTTTTTAAAAAATATCTCTCATGCCATTAAAATGCACATTTTGAGTTAGTTGTATACATTACTGCATTTATAAGTGGAAGTGCTACAAATGACTTCCAGTGAAGTTTAAAAAAAAATGTCCAAAAAAATCAAAAGCTTTCTATGAAAAGTAGTTTCAAATTTTGCATTTATAGTAATGCTTAAATGACATTTTTGACAAACAGTTCCCAATTTTGCAAGGAAAATTTCTATATATGTGATGAGGTTTTACTCTTCCATAATATTCTGAAAGTAATATTCTGCAGGTAAAAAAAGGTAGTATGGGCAGCAATAGATGCAAGCTGGCCAGAGGATGGGGCAAGACCGAAATGCTAGCCAGACCAAAGAAATTAGAAAACTAACTAGTATGGGAAAGTCTGTGCCATTCTGTAGCACCACTAGTTTCAGTTATGATATGAACACAAGGTAATACAAATAATTTACAGAAAAGGGACAAGTTTATACTGCAACAAGTAAAAATGTGAAATTTTTAATTTGAAATTAATAATGCGTAAACAAAGCAAGACGACAACAGTGGAAAAGGTATTATTCAAATTATAATAATAATAACAATAATTATAATAAAAATTATAACTAATAATGAAATTGAATTCCATTAAAAAATATTCAGTTGTTAGGACAGAATAGTACCCCTTTCCAACTTAATTATATTTCACATTTGAATATGCTCTTCTCTACCATTAAAACATTGAAAATACAAGAACTATGGAACAAACATTTAAATAAAAAAAATACTTTCCTGAATTTTGTTAAATTGAAATTCACTCCCCCCCCCCCAATTATTTTTCTAACTTTGTTTATTTACTATTAGAATACGAACTTATCAGTAGGGCATTCACCAAGATTTCCTTTATTCATAAAGCATTGACTGAATTGGTGCTTTTTTCTGTTCATGATAACAATTGTGGCTTTTATCTTTCTCCTAAATGTTAATTTTCCTCAATTGTTTGTGCAGTACCTTTAAAAGTTGCTTCCTGTAAAATATCTCAATTTTCCCCCCATTATTGTGCAAATGTTTTCTCACAATCAATTATCGTTTAGATTCAGAATAGAAAAAAAATTGTTGGCCCATTTTTGTCTAAGAAGAACTTTCCATGAATGAGAATTTAAAAAATATATTCCACAATTATATACTGCACAAACCACCTGCTTTACAGGAGGTGGGGTCTCCTTTCTGTATTAGCCTTTTTGACGTTTTCACTCCCCTACTACCAGAGCCCCCTGTAAATTAGCGGGTCACAGGAGATATTGTATACTTGCTAAAAGTGGATGGCTTGGCTAATACCATCATGTGCATATCTTCCCACATCACCACCTTCATGTGCATATCTTTCTAAAGCCATTAAATATTGGTAATTGGTTTGAAAGGAGTCTGAGTGGACTTTAGAAATGGCCATAGCCAAGTAAATGTCCCCACCTTTGCTGGGGGTTGAACATCAAGCAAACACGCCCTAATCACAACACTGCCATGACAATTGAGATGACTGAGAATAACATTAAAATGAGAAAATTTAAGATATACTTTTTAACTCTTTTGCAAGTGTCAGTAGAATTTATTACACTTAAATCCTGGAGGTTTTGAAGCATGTGTACAGCAAGTTAGTTCTTGGTATTATAGTAAATTCATTGATTTCCTTTTATAATTGTTCTAGCATAGAACCATTATCACATACAATGAAGGCCACAAGTTTACTAAGATTTTGGACTTTTGAGCTTTAAAACCTCTTTTACACATCTGAAATAGTCTTTTAAAAGACAAAAGTAGACTGTGTAATTTCTTAAATAGGCAGTTTAAATTGACATGTAAATAATTTATTTGCATTAATTTTATTTTACTTCAAACTTTATTAAAAATGAGAGTTTGAAATGTTAAAAGGTCATCAAATGCAAAACTAATTAGGTGTTTTTCGAAACAGAACAATTATATTTTTAAAAACCATATTATTTTAACCCTACGACACACTTCTTCAAAGCTTAACCAGGTAATCTCAAGATTTTTAATTAATAATAATTTCAGCTTCAGCCTCATTTTCTGTCTATGAATGTTTTTGTGTTTATTGTAAAAGATTTCTAGGACACCAAAGAGTTTTCAGGCACAATATGCAATTAATACATATTTTTATGCACCATACACTGTGATATCTTGATATCACAGTGTATGTCAATAATTAAATGTGTTTACACTTAATATCCAATGAGTGTCAAAAGAGTATATAGTATACATTTACCTAAAAATCCATTATTAGTTATAATTGATCTATTTTCCTATGTTTTTATTTTTTTATTTTTAATTAAAATTAAAAAGGAGCTCTTAAGATACGAATTGTCCCTACACACTCAAAGATTTTCTATTCACACATTAGTGTGGCTAAATTCCAGAGAAAGACAAACCACCACTGCAAACCTCACCTCACTTCCAGTTTTCCTGTTACAGCAGCACATCTGCTGAAGGAAGAGGGGGAGGTGGATGTCTGATTGGCATCACCCTGGCTGCTTAAACTTCGAGTGAAAGGCTGCAAACTTGTGTAGGTAACAGGAACTGGACTGGCTGCTTGTACACTCTGCAGCTCACGCTTCAACTGTGCTGCAGCTGGCGAGTCAGGAGGCAATTCAGCCCGGCGCAGTTCCAATGATTTGCGAAGCAAGTCCAATTTGCGACTTGACTCGGCCAGTCGAATCTGGGCCTGTAGCAACAACCATTATGACCTATTGTTTCAGTCAGGATCAACAATATTATTCTATATTGGCTTCCATTATTCAGTATGTATACAGCATAATACATTACACATACAGCACTTGCATTAACTATAATAGTAAAAGCAAACTAAGTGAATACTAACAAGGTTTTATTCTTACATAGAATTATTAATTTCTCGTTAATTTCTTTGAGTACTCCTGTAATACCTTAAAAAGGTTTTCAAAAACAATTTCACTTAAAAAGCCTAAGAAAAGAAATGAAAAAAAATCAGTTTATCTATTTGCATTGAATATACTTGTTAAACCTTTGACAACATGCAAACTTCAACAATTTTCTCTCACAAAATTAATCAGTTGTTGAAATAATTAATAATTTTTTTGACACTACATTTTCAACCCCAATTTACGATTTTAATTTTCTTTCTAATATAATTTTATTTCTCAATCTGCATTGAGTAGATAGGGACAGAATGTTAGTGGTATACAGAAAAAGTACGGGTAATTACATAATTTTTCATGAACCATCATGTTTTACCATTGCCAATATATTGAACTATTAAAGGTCTATGCTTCTAGTAATATTTTACAAAAAGAGAAGAGATCTTATAGTCCTGTCACCGCCCAAGAATTCTCATTAAGTGTACAAGCAGTTTCTGCTATCCTGAAATAACAAATAACCTGCAGCTTCTGCATAAGCTATATCTACAGTAACCAAACTGTAGGCTGAACTTTTCAATTCACTTATCTTCAAATTTCTTGCAAAGATGGTTGTGCCTTTAGGAAGAAGATCCATGCAACAGGTCATAGTACAAGTTCACAACAGGAATACGAGTTCATTAAATGGCAATTTGAAGAAAGCCTAACTAGAAATCCTGGTATCAAAATATTTTAATAGTGATCAGACTATAAATCATTTCATTCTTTGTTCCTGTCTCTGTTCAGCAGATGTTCTTTTCACAAAAGTGAGGTACAATGTAATTTGTTGAGTCTAAAACATCAACAGTAACTATATAGGAAGTTTAGCAAAATCCTGTAAACATATATGCATTTTATTGTTGTTATTATTATTATTATTATTATTATTATTATTACTATTATCATCATCATCAACTTTTAATATTTTTATTAAAATCAAGAAGAACCTGCCTAAGTAGACTATTTATAAGGACTATCGTTTGAATCAGAATATTATGTAAGAAACTTCTAACAGAGGAATGAATGTAATTTGTCTCATATGGATTAAATTGTACTTCCATTATACAGAGTATTAGGCGAGTCTTTCTTCTAATTATTTAAATTTAATTTGACATGGCTAAGTGAACAGGTAAGTTTTGAAACCCCCATTATGTGAGGCCAGCAAGTCTAATTTTAATTTTAATTGTTTTGTTTTTTCCCTCACTTTCAAAATCTCTTTATTTCAGTGGTCTACTCTTAAAAACAAAATAAATCAATTCAGCATTTCAAAATGTTATTCAGGGGAACTTTTCAGATTGAATATATTATGTGCTGTGAACCTTTTCCTCAAATTCTCTGATATACAATACATTCAATAGACACCCTTTCAAGGAAGCTAAATTTCAAAAATCCAATGCCTATGCCTAGCTACAAGTGTTATTCTTTAAAGAAGATATCCTTAACTCTTAGCCAAAGCAAACTTTGTAATCCTCACAAAATTATCAGGAGACTTTTCTTTTGGAAATTTACATGTCAATAATTATTGGCCAATAACAAATAAGTTGCTTTTATTGATCAGACTGATATTAGATAACAAAAGCATACAAACTTAATATACAGACACTAGACCCAGAGAATCAAAAGAGGAATTTCAAAACTACTCACAGATATGACTTCACTAACACATTGAAAACAAATCAGCATGTATCCACAAACTGCAATCATAGTAGCAAATATTCGAAGAATAACGGAAATATAGTGTCATCCACAGTTAATGCTAGAAACTACCACAAATTAGAGACACATCACATTTTCCACTCCAATCTGCCTACACACGGCATGTCTCCAACAGAACGTGCTCTTCCTCTGCGTTTAGAGTTCTCATAATATTCTCTACAGTGCTCACAGGTACAATCAGGATTTCGTGCTGGGCCAACATGATGGCCAGGTTTCCTAAACGCTCCTATGATTGTCCCAAATTTCTGGGCTTTATAAAACTGCTCTGTTCCTCTTCCTACTGCAGTGAATGGGGAAGTGACAATGGAGCCCAATTTGGAAGGAGGTGGAGATGGAGGCTTCACACCAAAAGGACCTATTGCAGATCTCCTCACAAATCTATGCTTTGTGGGAGGACCTGAATCACTGAGGCTTCCTGAATCACCAACAAAATGTGGAGAATTCTCAAGGTTCACTTGATCAAACTGAAATTTTTCCAAATCTGACAAAACACTACCACTGGTCTTTCTAACTGCACTGTCTCTTTTAATGGTATTATATTTTTCAGAATTCGCTCCCCTAGCACCACTGCTAAAAACCCAAGCATCTCCAGTTTCATCATCATCTTCCTCTTCCGAATCTTCCACAGCATCTGGTTTCCACAGAGGAAAACCCTTACTACCATGGTGCTTCTGCAAATATTCCTTAAACTTCTGTTGTTGAAGTAGGTGTTTGCGTTCAGTGTTTGGCGACTGCCAGGTTTTACTTTGTTTACTGGTGTCTTCATCTGCAGAACAAGCCCATGCTTTCTCCTTCTCACGTATCCTTAATCTATCCATAGCATCTGCATACTCAAAACTATCACTCAAAGCAAGGCTTAAATTACTAAGTGCTACAGAATCTCTTTCAGTGGCTGTATCTTTCCAAGACGTTGCGGCTATGGAATCATAATCTTCACTGAACAAAGCACAACTTGAAGAAGAAATTGTTGATGAAGAAGGATCCCTGGAAGGTTCGCTAGGAAGAGAAGATTCAGTATCTTGAAAGGTTGTATAGGAACTTTGCTTAGAAGGATAATGTGAACTCAATCCGTCATCACTGTCGAAGCCTCTTAAATTTTCTTGTATTCTCTCAGCAGGAGAATATTTGAAACTTTCTGATCGATATGAAATGTTGGGTTTCTGATTGTTTGATGATCCCTGGCCTTGCAACGCTTGGGGCAACTGATTTTTACCAGCTCTTGTATGCACTACCCTCAATTTATCAGATTCAAAAACAGTCTGAGGGGAAGACCATGATTCTCCTTCCTCTGGAGTATCAGAAGTATTACTAGCATCTGCATCAGCTTCATCTGAACCAGTACAATACACATCAATGTGCACAGTTCTTGGTTTTCGATTAGGAATTTCTGGACTAGATGCCCTGCTCTCACTAGCAGAGTTCTGTCTGCTTTGGAGAAGAGGAGATTTCCCACGTAATCGAGCTGGTGATCGGGACAACTTCTTGCCAGGCTGTAAACCAAGGTGAATTAATAATGACAAAAAGAGAAACAAACATACTATCCAACTGTAAATGATTATATTCCTGATTTACCTTTTTCTTAACGGGAAACAACTCTGCAAGTTCCTGATCCGGAACCAGTAAATTCTTAGCTGCTTTGATTATGTCAGATTTTCTGTGATGTTCTTTGCTGCCTGACAGTAAATCAGAAGTTTGAATTGCGGCATCTTTACTTGTTTTGACACACTGACTTGATTGTTTATCAGCATTGCCAAATGAATGTGCCCTTTCAGGAACACGTGTACAGAAGTGTGTAGTGAAAGTATTAGATGTAGCTGCACGGCGTGCTGCTGTTGGACTTCTCCCACCTCCACACACTTCACACATTTCATCAATATCTGGTACAGAGGAGGATGCAGGCATTGTGTGCTGTGCCGATTTGCCTGAGGTACTGTCTGTGAAACAACTGGCGTGATAACACACAGGATCACCACAACGATGTGTTAATGTATGATAACATCTTGGAACAGGTGAGCAGCTAGTACCTCTGTTTATTGGCACTTCTGAAAATGTATTTGCATTGCTTGCATCCGGGGGCTCATGCACTCCTGATAATATTATACTGCATGTACTTTTGCAGCGTCTATTATATGGTTGTTGTGGGCGGCAAGGGGCTCCATTGTTTGCAGGCTGCTGCGAGGCCTGCATGGGCTCTGGAGCCGGTTGTGGTACACTGCGGGACGGTGGTGTTGTTGTAAAGAGGATGTTGCCACGTTGGAACCCATAACAAGGGTGCAAAACTTGTCTTGCACCATTACCGGTAGAGGCTACTGTCACTGTTGGCTGACTACCCCAGGAGCATGAAGTGTGCACACCACTATCTGAACTAGGCTGCCTGTCATTTGTAGGGGGGTCCAATCCATCATGGGAGAAAGTCAGTTCTGCATGCAAGGACCACTCTTGGGTTACAACGGAACGTGATGCTGCAGGAGTGTTTGTGTTTGTGGCTGATCTGTTCATTTTTTGCGAATTATTTATCATCAGAGATGCTCTTCAAATCAAATTAACATTCTTGAAGAACTCATACACTAATTAACTCATCTCAGCAATGCAGTGCTTCCGAGTTCACAAGCAAACAGTCACAGGACACCTAAAGTCAATGCACTTCATTCTCATTGGAGGGCCGTCTTGCTGCAGTACCCTACTCTGCCTATAAATATCTTTCAAACAATCAGCCTCACTAATTCGGTGGAAAGCAACAAGTAATACCAACTTCTTTCGCTCAAACGCAGAGCTGTAACGCTCCAAAGAGTTGAGCTGCGGCTCACCGGCGGGCGCGCGGCAGCAATGAAACGACGGCAGCGGGGGCGGCGGCGAGGGCCGCCCGCCCGTCCGCCCGCCCCGGGCGTCGGATTTAGAACGCGGGCGACTTGGCAGGCGGCGCCGCGGGGCACTGGCGTGCACGCGAGTGTGCGTGCGTTCTCGCTCGCGCGCGCGGGGCCGTCTTTCGCGCAAGCTCCCTGCCCCGGCGAGGCGGACACCGGCGACTCCGCGCCGCTATTTCGAGCGTCGCCCCCCACGCCTCGCCGCGCGCGCCGCCCAGCCGGCCGACCGGCTTGCAGGCCTGCCCACCGCGCTTCCGCCCGGCGGCGCCCTTCGCCAGCCTCCTCCAGCAACCGCTCCCCTCCGCCCCGGCCCTAAGCGACCCTTTTCGGGCATTTGGGGCTGAGGGCGATCGCCTCTCGATGCGCGGCGGAGGAGGAAGGCAGGGCTACTGCGATTACACACATCGGTATTTTCCTGGAAGCCACGCGGGGACACACGCATGCGTCCAAGCCACTCTGCCCAGAGTACGAGGCCTACCGCTGCATCTGGCAAACTGCCAACGGTTCTTCGCATATCCCTCGTACTATTTGCATCAGAAGAAATGAAAGTCATTTCTAAGTAAATTAGCGTCAATTTAAACAATTTAATGCACATTTCCACTTGGATGCTACGAGAATAAATTTCACAACAAAACATCGAGAACAATACACGCGCCTTCTATTAGGTTTGATCCAATTCATTCATGTCTTCTTTCTTCCATTGATGCATCTCTCTAAATGCTGTAAAGATGTAAAGAAAAACAAAAAGACATGCCTGGCAGAACACACAACTCACATTTTCTTTTTCTTAAAATTAGATACTATTCATATCCCATTTGATTAAATAATCGCACAGCTACGAAACAGGAAAACTAAGGGAAGCAGTCATTAACACAAATGGCATGAAACAAATATTCAGAGATTATTACAATCCAGAAATTTTTTGAAGTGACAATTGAAACAACATTTCTTTTTGCCAAATGGCTTGCCTTGAACTTCCCCAAATGTGGCACTTTGCCATCATCCACAAACGTCTGCCAGTTCATAATATTATTCACAAGTTCTTAATTAATTTATCAAAACTGTCACTGTAAACATTACCAAATATGATTACTTGCAATATATCTTTTTCCAAGAGCTTCAAATATACTTTCATCTCTGCCACATCACCTTATTAGCCTCTTGCATATTACCATCAATAATTCAATGAAACACCTTTCAGAGAGACAAAAAAGTTTTAGACAGTAAAAACTATAAAACAATCTATATAAATTCCTACAGAGAAGAAAAATCTAAAAAAACGTTTCAGAAATTGAAAAATGTAAACAGCTACACATCATTCCAACTAGCTACTACAGCTGGCACACCCTCTCTGCCCAGAGCAAAGACTGGAACACCTGTTTCGCCACTTTGCCAAAATATTTTTACTCACACCCACACAGTAATTTCTTTACAAAAACATGCACAGTTGCATAAAACGTCTTTCATTTTATGTGATGAATTCTATTCTGTAAATTCTGTTAATTCTATTAATTTAAAGTCTATTCTAATTATTAAGCAATTGCTATTATTGAATTTGGTACAAGACATGCAAGCCCTTAAACAATATATTAGGTTCAATACAAATACTACTGCTACCCATTAATTTTTTAACTGGTTAACTACTTCACTGCCTAGTTAACTATTGTTTTAAATGATTAGGCTACATTTTTTAACAAATAAAGACCATTCTCCTAGACACAGAGTAACAGATAATGGCATTTGTAATTGTCTTAGAAATAACAAAAAAACTCAAACCTTTTTATTTTCATGATAACTTTATAAATTTCCGGACAAATGGCATGTATTTCTTATGAAATAACTTTTAGCGAAGTTTCCATTTCTTACATTCCTAGTATTGATTCTATTGTGTATTCAATAAACACAAATACTATTTATAGAATATTATTGACAGTAATTCTTCTGTTAAATAGTTCTATAGTTAATACAGTTAATAGAGAATGAAGTTGACTTATTGTAGGGCAGTGACAGTAGATAATGTGATGTTGCTTCTGATGATTTTCATATTTCATAGCTTTCATTGCATTACCAACATGTTTTAACATTCATAGCATCTTTCAACCTGTTATGTCAGTCTTCTAATATTGCTCACCCATTTTTAATTTGTTTTTTCAAGTGAAATGTGACCAATTGGCTATTATAATCAATAATACATTTATTACACAAAATATGGAAGTACCATGAACTTGGGAGAGGAAAATAATAAATTACAGAACCTATTAATACTCACTGCTTGACTACATTCTTAATATTTTATTCTTGCTCCATTTCAATTTTCTTTCCCCACAAATTTCAATTATTTTCCTTTACATTATCAAGCATTTAACACTCCAAATAAATCCGGTTAATAATTACAAAATAATTAATTGGACAACTGCTCATATCATAAAGGAAAACTATGATTGCTGTATACTTACTTTATTCAAAATTTCTCAAAAATAATGCCAATAGGGTCACTTAACAAATTGGAAATATATTAGTTAATTTATATACTCTTCGCCTAATACTGGAATTATTAGTAAACTGGATCACTATTAACCTGTAGGTTCATATCCACATACATCAATAATTCATATAAAAACTTAACCTCACTGACACCATTCGTCACATACAAAGGTTATTTTAATTTAATTTTTATGATTCTTTTTTACTTTTAAAGATACATTGAACAATATTGGATATATCTATAAGAATAATTATTAACTAATATATTCACACTTTTAGATCATGGAGGCTCCAGAGTGGATGCCATCAAACCATGCCGTAACACACTTTAATACGTACAAAATTAAAAAAGTTTTAAAAATTATTATAAATATAGGGTAGATTTTAATAAAATGTTTTTTAGTTTTCTTTTCACTTTAGAACAGTGTCTTTTACTATACACAATTTTGTGATATGACAAAAATAATGGACGCATTTTCAATACAGCATTTTTTTGGCATTTTTCATCGGTTCCGTCTAATAAGTATTTTTTTTCTTTTTTCTGTCATTTTAAAAGTATTTTGTGCTGATTTCATTGATTTTAATATCAATTTAATGGTACTTGCTACAAATAATATTTATGAGATGCAACGAAAGTCCTTCACAGAATTAGTCAGTAGCCTATTGGATAGTAGCCGTTTTAATTATGTAATCTAAGGATCCAGTGATGCCTGGCAATGCCATTGCTGGGTCAGCCGATTTCCAGATAACAAAATACTATAAAATAACAGTTTGCAAGCTAACTTCACTTACTCAGTAACATATCCAACAGCATGGGTTGTTCACCTGAACTGGTTTTGATAAAAAAAATTTTACATCCTTTTTCTTTGCTTTCAGCACATTTTTGAAGCATTTTAAGAGCTTTTTGTTCATTATTTTCTGGGATGTTTGAGGTCATCAAAATGCGTCTCCTAATTATAAATGCTTTTAAAAGAATATATTATAGAAAATGTATTTTAATACCATTAACAAGAAACATATTTTTTATAATTTAATTTTTCAAGTTTTAGCAGCAAGTTCAAATTGTTGCCATGCTCTTCTTACTTACTTTTTGTGGGGGGGACAGACCCATATACTGGGTGTAAATTAAACCTCTGTTAACATCTCCCCAATTACCATCCCCACCCTTCATAGCAAGTTTCTAAATTTACTCCTTTTAAGAGATCACTTTTCAAAATGAGATTGAATTACTGACAATCTGATGTATCATGTCATGATTCACACACATGTCGGAAAGAGAACAACAATTCAGTGTTTCACCAGTATACTCTCCAGTGTATTAAATCTTTCACAAAAAAAGGATGTTTGTTTAGATTTTTCCAGAATATTTTTTGGGAACCAGCTAAGAACTGTACCAATCAATTTGTCGAGAGGTATCACATGATCTATGCATCACCTTTGTAGGTGTCAAGTCACTAAAATGTAATTTTTATTACTTACAAACATGTTGTTACGAGAAATTTCTTAGAATTTTCTGGATAGATCCACAAAAGAACTATCAGTTCCCACTAAGAAACTCATCGAATGACTCCTCATTTGTCTCGACTGATAGGCTGGAATTGTTCAGTGGTGACACACGGATGCAGATTACTCAATTATTCTATAAGGATTTATTATGACATATTTCCTTACATTTAAATATTTTTTCATACTAAAACGGAACTCACTGATACGAGTTTGCTACTATGTGTTCCTAGAACAGTCTTGCTGTGACACAAAGCAATATTCCACTAATATTATACTACATTTCTAAGACATCTAGCCTATAATTACCAAGAGTCAAGTTTCAACCCTCCTTCCATAAATCGTGTACCTTGAATCAAGGATGCATGGAAATTTGCAAAGCAGAGCTAATAGTAATCAAGTGCTTTATCTTAGTGCCTAGAGCCCATGCATAACTCGATCAAAATCTGACAAACATTTCTTACACACCATTGTGTTATCTTTCTGCACCCCACCAAGAAACACATACCTCTCTGTTAAGGATACAGAACTCTGACACTGGCTACTAAGCAGCAAAACTATTCAAATGCACACTGGCTCTTCAAAAACATTACATGTACTACAAACACATCGTTTAATTTATATGAAACTTGTATTGTATGGTAGGCTAGGGTCCAATTTCTTGGGTAAAGGTACATTATTTGTTCTGCTTCTCCAAATCGATTTGAAGACCTTAACCAACCTTTTTCATGTTCAAATGTATGAAAATGGTTGTACTTTAAATACTTTTGTGTGCTTTATTTCACTCATTTTGTATATTTTCTTGAATATTTTTGAAAAAATAAATACATTGATACATATAAATTTTGCTTCTCTTATTATAATAAATTCTATTCCCTATTTCTTAGTAATAAATTACAAATAATTGGTGTTTTCATTAACCATATTTAATATACTTTTTTCTGTGACAGTAGTTGCATATTAGAACAAAAGGCTTCAAATTTGCTCAACCATTATTTACTGAACTTTTTAAGTGTTCAGATTTGCGATGACAGGCATTCTAGTTCATATTTACGCTATTTAAATGACACTTGTGAAACAGGTCACAAATCATCCAAGATTTTTTTTCCATTTCCTATCATGCATAATTCACAACTTACCTCTTGAAGAGCCTTCTTATCTGCAACTTTAGAACTCTGCAACAACCGGATGACATTCTTAGCACCCTCAACAACAGCAGCTTCAATTCGCAGTCTATGTCTTAACTCCTCAATACGTTCTTCAAGGGGAAGCTCAAGATTAGGCTCAAATTTATCTGCAAAGAACACAGGTACACAATAAATAACAAAACATAATTTGTATTGGAAATTTAACTTCTCAGATGATGACACTGACTACATGTTATTTGACATTGTCATCTTTTCCTCAAACATAGGAGGAAATAGAAGACAAGTGCACCAAAAACATTGTGGTAACAAGGTTTATCATTAATGTCCTCACTGGTATAAAAAAAAAACTGAACATTATAAATATTCTTCTACTGATTGGTATTATAACCTCACATCATTTTGCATTTAATATTGTTAAATTTACTTTCATGACTTAAGCTCTATTTGGTTTGTAGAAATAAGAGTTTCAACTTTTCTTCTCTCCTTAAATATAATTTTGTGTCATATATAAAGTAAACGTTATGTCTTGGAGTAATAAATAGGGCTAATCAAGTAGTTAGTGAAGACTGATGAGAAGAGTTTTCAACAAAGACATTATAAATAGCATTATTTGTTTAAAGGGTTCAATGATAAAAAAAATACTATCTCTCATAGACGCCAGTTCTTATAATTCCAAGAGGTTTAAAAAATGTGAGTTGTAAATGCTTCTTGGAACACCCCACATTAGTAGCACTAATTTGTATCATAAGAACTACCACTCTTTATATCATCTGTTCTACAACTTTAGATGTAATCATTTTATGAAAAAAAATAGCTTTTTGATTTTTATTTATTTAAACTTAGGGACTTATACCCAAATACATCATATATAATCAACAAAAAATGTAACACACACATGAATAACCAGTCATTCATATTTCAATGTATTACCACTTACAACCTCATAATATTGAGTAAACTTCAAATTAATGCAAGGCGAGATTGTTAGTTTGGCTGTTAGCACATTCTATAAAGTGGATTATTTGCCACATATGTTAACATGTACACTGGCAAGAAAAAGATAGATCTTCTGTTTGACTGTACTGTACCTATTAAACTTCAAATGATTGAATAAAAGCAGGCAGTCAAACATTCTGTTACAAACTTCAATCAGGAATATCTAATCACTAAATTTCCTTTGATGTATAAATGTGTTGGGATTATGAGGGCAGTTGCTGTAGCCTTATAATTATGGTCAATGAATGGATCATGCAATCCCAAACTTGTAGCTAGCATTCAGAAGAACGTGTTGGACATTTTCCAATTTGGTAGGTGTGGTTGAAAGACTGGCGACCATATTGTTGACGAGAACATCAAAATTGATCTCACAAGCAATAAACAGAGAAGCCTCAATGTATTGATAAAGAAATTTATTGAAAGTACATCTAATAAATCCTTACATCTGGTGGGCTTGTTTGTTATGTAATATGTGTTCTGAAAATTACATTTTTGAATTGAATTTAATGCATATACCGCAACTTTATTAAAATGAAATGACAAATTTATTACAAACATTTTACAATTTTGTCACTAAGTAAGCATGTAAAGAAAATAAATAAAGAGATGGTTGTGTTTCTTTTTCATTCATAAGTTCATCTGTAACAGTAATTTAAATATGTCACCAACACATTTAGTTAATTGCTCTTGTTCATTAGCTCTATACAAGGAAGTTCATTCCATTGCTATAAACACTATTTATTCATTTTTATTTAATTTAATTACAATAAAAAACAGTTAAAAAACTATTTAAAGTAAAGACGTGTACTAGTTTGAATCCCCCCTTTTTTAACCATACCAAACTGAATTATAAATAAATGTAACAATTATTCGTTTTTTTGTTTGTTTTTAATGACAGGAATATTTGCTTCTGTGTAATACAAACTTTGAATATAGCTCATTTGAATAAGCAAATGAGCTAAAGAAGCAGCAAACTTAGTGTTTTGTAAAAAAAAAAAGGAAGTGCTGGTGAGTGTTGGGTTAATGTGTTTCAAACATATGGCAACATATTAACACAGTGGCAGATTAACACTTAGTGAGGTCCTAGGCAACTGCAAATGAGAGCCCCCCTGTCTATTGACTGTACCCCCTCCCGCCCATACACAAGTGCAATAATTAATAATCAAATAAAATTAATTAATATTTTAAAATGTTTGCCAATATTTACACAAAATAAGATTCAGAAATACTTTCTTCTACATTGCATTTCTCCTGCTTAAACTTGTTAATAACATCATCAAATCAATTTTCCTTAAAATGTCAAAGATTCAATGCAAAGAAGTCTCAACATTTCTAGTCGTTCCTTCCGCACATCTTGACTGACCCTTTTTTCTCTCTCAAATCCAAAAAAGAAAGTTTTCATTATTCTCATCGTCAAGAAAATTCAATAAGCTATTTCGAGATATTGGGTATGAAGTTATACACTAAAATATCTTAGAGAAATTTTTATACAAGATTTTATTTTATTACATTTTTAAAATCTTGAAAAATGAATACACAAAGAAGTGATTTTGTTTTTAACAATAAAAAATATAGTTTCCACAATTTAAAATGTATTCCCCTTTTGCTTTCATTATACGAGGTCACTGAATTTCATAGTCTCATCCGAGCACAGAATATCTCGAAAATTATTACATGGTTAAAATAATGTGTCTTGCTCAATTAATTATTTTAAAAAAAATTAATCTCATTGAGGCCCGCTAAGCAACTGCCTGTTGGTTAATCCTCCACCACATTAACACCAAAAGAATTTAAGCATAGTAGTTCAACAGGGTCAAAGAAACAACACGCACATGCACAATGCAGATAGATTTATCAATGAACTACTGATGTGAATATCAAAATGAAGAACAAAGTGCTCTATGGAGCAGGGAAAGTGTACCTTGATTCACTGCTGGTTCTACATTTAATGGAAAATGCCAAACATATATGTTTAGATACAAAATTTTAAGAAAAATACTGTGTCTGCCTTACTTTCCAATCCGCATAACATTGTGGAATCAAGTCCAGAGTCTCGTCCAGAGGCTGATGAAGTCATATGGTCCGATGGACCATATTCTGAATTTAAAAACAGATACAAGGCTGAAGTTTTGAAACAGCTTGATGACAAATTTAATTAGACGTTAATTGAAGTATTTTGCAATTTCACATGGAAAAGGTGTAGTTGACAGGATTGGCAAACAAGTTAAATGTCCTGTTAGAACTCAAGCAACTGACGTCTTTTTAGAAGTTATGAGTAAAGCCAGCTAATCTCAAATTGTTAAATCATCAAGACTGCCCAATCAGTTAGAAAGTTAATGCACCCCAAAAAAGTTATAGTAATTATTGAAGAATGTATTTCCAGACAGAAATTGGAAAGAAGCATTGTCAATTCCAGGCATAAAAACAATTCATGCAATGAAGTTTGTTCCAAGTATTACTTATGCAACTTTTCTTGAACGATGGATTGAAGAAATGCGGGTAAAATGGGGATATTAGTTACGAAATCAGCTACTAGATTTTATGAAGCCAATCTCTGGAGAGTCAGTCATGCCTTCTCAACTTTCTCAATAATTTGCATTCTAACTTTCTAAGGAGATCAAGGATTCCCTGTGATGGATCTTGACCTGCTTCGGTCATTTCTATAAATTTTTTTGAGAAAAATCATGGACAGAAGTTCTCGCCTTCAAAAGAAGTTAGTTTCTATTTAGCCCCAGTGAAAATGTGTTTGAAACGTTGCCATCAGTGCTCGCTGCAAGTTTTTGCCTTCAATTATTCATTGTGCAAGGTCTTCGTACAAGCAAAGTTGCGTAATTAATAAAAGCTTCTTTATTCAAGAGAATAGCTTGTCTCCAGAAACAGAAGTCCTTTTGAACGAAAATAATGACATTTACAAAAATGGTGATTAGGATGTATTATATGATGGGAAACTGTACCCAGACGAACTTATAAGCAGACTCCACAATGAATTTGAAGTGTATGTTATGACACAGACAAGAAAACTTATTTCTGGAAGTGGCCATTGAAGAATGACAAGTTGTTAGATTCCCCTAGGAAAGTTCTTAAAGTAATAAAACCACCTGTGTTGGTAAATTTAAGAGGACAATACAAATTTAAGAACATTACATTTTGATTTGTGACACACAGGGCATAAAAATAAATGCTACTGTTACATAGTAAACAAAACAATACGGTAATGTAATTTATTGATCATAAAATAATTGGTACCCGAGCCAAAAGTGTATTACAATCCAGAAGTTGTAAACAAATGTTTCAAATGTGAACACTGATTTTTTGGTTTCGATTTAAAAAAATGCCCAATGATAGAATTCTAGGTTTAATAAAGAGGCTTGCACAAATTGTTTGGATGGGATCTGGTTATTATTTGTACATTTCTTTTCCCTACACTAAAATTCTGGGGTATATAAGATGCATTGTTCTAGAATATTACGTCGCCTCAGGCGGATATATACATTTGCAAAATGTACACAAGCTGTATGAAAGATGAACGAATTTGAAAAAAGTTTGAATGTGAGGCATATTTTTCTATTAAATCATCTGAATGGTTATTCTATTGGACTAAATTGAAAGAAAAAGAAATGTTTTTCTATGATATGTATGAACGCATTAGTCAACTGCACATTGTTATTTTTAATAAATAAGATTGAAAACTACACTGAAACTGTTTTTGTTGTTCACTATTAATTTGATATTATGAAACTAATTGTAACATTTGCACTGTAGTTCTTATTTTTCTTTTTTGCAGAGAGTATTTGTGTAAGTGAAGAAGATCTTTTCTGTTTCTGATCAATGACAGCATACTGTTTACAAACAAAAGGAAGAGACCTAAAATCTGTGTGGCTTCATGCTCAATTGACAATCAGAAAGATGGGTAAATTATGTTACTTCAGCCCAGTAAGTCTTTCAAAACTCAAATTGATAATTAAGATAGGAAGATACCAAATTCAGGGTGCAATGCCATTAATTGAAAGTTATTAAAAAATAATTAATTAATACAAATGTAATGTTGAAAACCAAATGTTCTGGTAGAATCAAAAGCAGTCAAAAGGTCTAAAAATATGCTACAAAGGGCTTGATTTTGATCCACTGTTTCCATACATTTTGATTTTCTAAACTCACATGGGCAATCTGTCAACATTTTGTATTACCTGAGAAGAAAGTTTCGATTTAGAAAAGCCTCTCTAATATTTGTTTCCTCTTTTGAAAAGGGGCTTGATTTTAATTGTTTTGAAAACATCCAAAAATATTATGGTTCTTAAGGATGCAACACTATGTAAGATAATAGAAGTATAGGTTGCAATAATATGTAAGTAAACAGAAGAAAATGGCAGAGGCACAGGTTTTTACAAAGAAGTAAGAAATTTGCTCCAAATTGGCCAAATAGCTATTTTTTAGTGTATCAACAAATTTTCAAAAACAGTGCTGTTTTAGGTTTGACATTATTGATTTTTGTTTACTTCAGTAGCAAGTACATAGAAATAGTGGTTCCCCTGAAACTTTGCTTTTATGGTCATCACAATGAATGATATTTACGAAACTCACAACTTTTGCACTTATTCTATTTTTTTGGTACCAATTTTTTAATATAATTTTTTCTAGTCGTCGGAAAATCTTACTTGAATACAAATTAGTTTCATAAATCTGATACAAATAATACTAAAGCAAATTACCATAAACAATATTGGCTTAAAAGTACTCTAGTTCACTGCAGGGAATCACAACAATAAATGGAAGCCCCTTGTAGATCCTCAAAAAGTACTAATGTCACCTTTGCTCATAAAATGGGACTGATGTAGCAATTTGTGGAAGTATTTGAAGGAATCTGCAGCAATCAAGCATCTACAACATCCATTCCCAAAGCTTTCCGAAGCAGTAAAAGCTGGTGCTTTTGTTGGACTTCATATCAAGAAAGTTTATAACTGTCAAGTTTCCCTAACAAAGGAAAACTGAGCATGGAACAGTTTTATTAAGTAGTTAAAGACTTCCTTAGAAATCATAAAGCTGAGAACTATGTGTAATTCGTTGAGATTGATTGACATGACACTCTTGTTAAACTATACATTTCTAGGTTCCTTTTCATCAATTTGTAGAATTTTGGTTAAAATATATTGAATTGAAATATAATAATCCCTTTTTTCCTTATATAATGATAAACCCAAAAATTTGTAGGTTTTCTTAATAACAGTATGCAAACTTCAACTTCTGTTCTCCTGACCACAAAAGCAAAGTTTTTGCAACGCAGTAAGGTTTGTTCATGCTTTTATGATAAAACCAATTAGAAAATGATATTGATTACCCAGAAACAAAAAAAATTGTGTTACATGGTTTTCATTGGAAGAAATTTCAGGAATGAACATTGTACCCAAAATGTTGGGGAGTTTTGTGGCTTTATTCAATGGGTGGCCAACCATTTCTGCAGTCATGGCAGATTTTAGAACTCAAAATTCCTATTAAAGCTAACGATATATGAGAAAATAAGACATTTCAAAGTAAAATATTTATTTGATTTCCTTCACAAGCCACAAGGAGGTACATGGCGCATTGCATGTGGTCATAGGTTGGCTAACATGCTTTAGACCACTTGTGAGATAAACCACAACTCTCGAAAACTATTACTTGAAGAGACTAGCCATTGTTGCTTGATTGCTCACTTCTCTAGCCTATCTTTCAGAACAACATTCTCTATGTATTTCCTAGTTGATGTGGTCATGATTTTTTCTAATCATTAGGTTTCTGGCTGCAAGCTGTTGATAATAAGAATCCAGTGAATGTTATTATTACAGACAAGTTATCTTAAATTGTCAAACTCTCTGCAAGCCAGTATCGAGAATTTACAAAAAAATACGAGATGAGCAGCAAGTTCTCCTAAACAATTTCTCAAATGAAGTAAAAGAATTCCTTCTGGTTCAACTGAGGAAGCAGTTATCAGTTATGAGAAAGTAAGGGCATAATTATAACTTGGGAGTAAGTATTTCTTCAGATGGTACTCTACCTCTCAAAATCCAATGAATTCAAACAAGTATGAATTGAAACCCTTCTTCAGAAAAGGCCTTGAATAGAACACTTTAGTAGATATTTATTTGGTTCTTCCAAGATAAAACTGTTTACCTAAATTTTTGATGCCAATTTTCTTTATCCTTACTTAATTTTAATTAAATGAGAAATGGTTTGTGACACTATAAACTCATGTTGAGCAATTATTATTATATACATTGCTGTAAACTCATTTATAGATGTAAATGAACTAAGATTCATAAACGTATTATTCTGAAATGCTCAAGTCAGCATCAGTATGATTACACTAATAAACCTTTGTTGAAGTGAAATAGTCATCACATACCTTTTGACTGCATTGTATCTCCATTACTAGGAGTATTTTGTTGTCTATACTGTAATTGTTGTTGGCGAGATTGCTTCACCTTTAGTATACGCATACGAAGGAACTCTATTTTTGCTCTTGAATCCGCCAACATTTGTTGGGCTTCTCCAAGCAGCTTTTTATCACGAGAATGACTGCTAGTTAGGCTCTGAATCATATTTTCAGCACCCTGCTTCACCTAAAAAAAAATGGCATCACCATATTTACTTGTAAAATACAAAACATTGCTAGGCTTTTCCTTAAAAATTTTGGCTGAAATGTAGTATACGGTACAACCTAAGGAAGGCGTTTAAACCGGCACTTCGCGCCGTTCCGGCGTTAACTAGGCAGTTAGAATTCTGGAGGCTTTCTTGAAAAGTGCTTTCTTATAAAAGTAAATTGGTAATTCAAGGATGTTTATAGTGAACGCGAGGGCCGAAGGCTCAAGCCTCACCGTGACTTGGATCCGGGCGAGCAAAGTGAGAAAACTTGCCTTTGAAAGTAAATTGGCGTTACAATGCGGCGAGGACAAAGCATATAAAGGGCGAACCATGAAAATCTCATATTCATAAGTTTTACTCATTTCTATTAGAGCACGTACAATAATTAGGACTTAAGCCTCGCCGCCACACTTCTCTAAGGGTGTACCGTATACTAAACTTTAACCAAAAAAAATCTTAACTTATTCTTCTTTTAACTCTCTCTCCCCAATTAATTTATAAATATAAAAAAATTGTTGAAAAGAACAAGTTTGAATCAGGGCGGCAATCAATCCACAACACATGACCTGCTTAATTGTCAGTTTCCTGATACATCAATAGTCTATACAGCAGTTTCTGAGAAAATAATTTGATACAAAATTTAAAAACTGCGTATGTTTGAATCAAAATAACATGAAAACTACTGAAATTCTCCAAAAATTGTACATGACCTCATTCCAAAATTGGTCTTTAAGAACAGATTTCATTAACAAAAAAATCTATCTTTAATATTTTGGTTTTAGAAAGACCCAGAAAAATATTTAACTTTCGCAATTTTTGAAAAATTGTGGATTTCAATGAAAGTGAGATCTGCACCAGTCTCTAAGTGTCTTTTACGCTATTCAACAACAAAAGTTTGTCAAAAAATTTGGTGACATTATTTTGAAAATGTCCCCAGGCCTTAATGCAAAATATGTCCAAAACTAAAATATCACTTTCAAATTCAAGAGGCATCAAAATCACAAAGATTGATTAAGGAATATCGATTTTGAAAAAATCTGCTGAACAATTTAGGCATTAACACTGACCAAAGACAGATGGATATTTCGCTGGCAATTGATTTTTGAGTATGAAGGACCCACAAAACACAGATTCTGACTACACATAGTGTTAGAGAAAGTAATTTTCAAGAATTATCCATTTTTTGTCAGCAAGGACCGTTAATAAAGTTTTTTCATCCCCCCCCCCCTGCAGCATTACAATTACTTACTGTATTCTGCATAAGCAATAGAGAGAAAGAAGAAGCAAATGCATGATTACAAGTCTATTAAATGCTTGTTACACATTTATAAGCAGTACATATACGATTGATACTGATATGACAACACTGTCTTAAAATGTAAAGATGATTTTGACATAAATAAAAGGTGAATGAATACCTTCAGTTCAATATTCAATTGCTTATCTAAAGAGAGAAGGCGCAGGTCTGTGAATAGGCCATCATTAGACACTGCCACCTGACCAGGTGTAGGAAATGACACAGTATCTGCAAAACAAAATACAAGAAATTCATAAACACTCAAAGATAATACATTAACATTTTTATTTACATGAAGTTCATTAAATTGCAAAAGACACGGAGTAAAATTAACACAACAAAAAAGGCTTGCAAAAAGAAATTTAAAATAAAACAAACATTTTCAATTATTTTAACAACGTGCAACCCTTGTTCACATACATAGCAATGATTAAATTTACAATCCAACCTTGTCAAAAGGAAAAAATATCATCAATTCAATTCTTAATTACAATATTAATTTTGAATTACTGCAAATTATCTCGTGTAGAGTTCAAATAAATCAACATTATCTATAAAGCAATAGAAAAATGTTCTATTTCCATTTATTGGAAAAGATGCATCTTACACTTCTAGGTCAAGAAAAAGGAGAGTATTGAAGAGTTTGGTTTCTTTACTGAAACAATTGAAATATATACAGAAAACACCTTATTTAATTTATTACAAACTTCTCAACTTCCATTCTTTAATATTCAACCAAATAAATTGTATAGCCTAAATATGCAAATTGATTGCATTTTTCATAAGTTGTGTTTCAAATTACACTACTCACCCTGGCCATTATTTAGCCCTGGCTGCAGTGGAGCACCAATTCCAGGAGATGGAGAGCTGGCTTGCCCCTGGCTCAGAATAATCTGGGACTCCAGCTCTTGAAGTTCAGCCTGCAGTTCTGCTAATTTTGAATTTGCTTTCTTTACTATGGTGGCAACATCAGCCAAACTTCGTCTATCTTTAGCAACTTCACGCAACTTTTCAGCTCCTTCTTTAATTTTAAGCTCCTTCCGAATCTCTCGTCGCAACAGTTCCTTAAGTTCTTCCAATTTACCAGGTAGTGCTGCCTCAGGAACATTTTCAGTCTGCAGTCCATACTTGTGACTTAATTCATAAATGACAGGATGGCGAATGTAATCCTCCTGTCAAAAATTACGTTTTATCACAGGCATATTCATCAAGACTTTCCATAATAAAAAACACAAATAAAAATGTAAAAATAATTAAAATAAACAATACAATTAAACATTTTCTTCTGAAAAAAGTCAAAACTGTAGTTACTGTCATACCATAACCGTTTCATTTATGTTCTTTCTATTTTTGTAATATATATTATAAAATGATCAGTTATCTTCCTTAAATACCTTTCACTTCATGATTGCCGTAGTTAAAGAGAAACAAAACAATATGAAATAAAAAAGTAGTTCTTTTTAAGGTATTTTACAAAATAATATCATTAATAACCATATGATAACATAATGTAATATATAAATACTACAATCAATTATATCACAATATAGCTAATTTAGGTGAATCAACTGAACTTAATATAGATATGTCAAGCTCAAGTTCACTATGTTCTGAAGAAATATTTATAAATAACCAAGCTGAGGTATGGAAATCTGTTGTCAGGAGTGTAGAATTTGATACCAAGAACATGCTATTCATAAAAAAACAATTAAAGAAATCTTGCATTGCAAAAGTCAAGATGTCAAGAATGACATCTCCAGTTAAGAATAGCACTATGATTTCGCATCAAACGCAAGTTCAACAATTAAAACTAGACAGTCACAAAGGGTCGGTAAAAAATAACACACACATAAAAAATTATAATAAAATGTAAAAGTAACGTCATTATAACGAAGAATTGTAACAGCAAGTGGTCAGGTTAATAATACCTTTATACGGAAATCGTGCTTAACTTCTGTTGTCGGTTTTACTCGATGCACAAAGCATAAAATTAATATAATCTCACTTATTCTGACTTACCTTGACGGCCGCAGTATTGTTAAAAACTCATAAAATGTATATCATCTCCTCACCTGGTAATAACTGGAGTCGGCCATCTTGACAAATTTTAATCCTCAACCCGCCCAGGAATTCCGAAGTATGCACTTACGCACACAACAAGATTACATTTAACAGTGTCATAGTCACAACATTATTTGTCTGTTCTTTAAAACGTGCATCATCAATACAAAAAAAATAAACAGTGGATGCTCTTGCTTCCCCGACCTAACACCATAACTTCACAAACTACACTAAACAGACAGGTTCTTTATCCAATCAAAACGTAGGGTGCAACGTCAGACTGGCTTTACAATTTTAGAGAGCGAAGTTGATTGGCCGACCAGTTACGTTAGTTCCACAGCCGCAACTATGCTATGAAATTGTTGGAGGGTCTCGAGACACTTCAACTCATAGTAGTAAAATTATTCGTTTCTACACCGGTTCAAGCTCAAGAATTGTCCAGTTATTTCTTTTGTAATTCTGAGGGTATAGCAATGACACACTTGGACTCATTCCAGGATGGAAAACCTATCCGTTTAGTTGGAGCAATTACATAGTTCAATGACCTTGAAGTACTTAATTAGCATATTGCAAATGTTATTTACTGAAATTGTACTGTGCGTAAAAGTGGTTCCGATCCGCTGATTTTAACTGATCTTTTGTTCCCCTGCGGTGGCACACAATGCTTTCCAGTGACAGGTGCAATGAACAACACCTGTTGCATAGTTGACCTTTCTGCAGGTGCCAACTGGTGACCGGGTAGATCGGAAGTTGTGGTCGATTTATTACGGGCACATAGGGATAAGCTGCTAATCTCCCTCAAATAAAAATAAAAGGATGAAAGGTTGAGATTTATTAATTAAAATATCTTGGTTGCTTCACATAATTTTGATATAACATTTATTTCTGATACAGTTGATACACACTATAATAATTTTCACAATAAATATATCACAAACTGAAAATACAATTGCACAAGGGTATAAGGTGTTTTTCACCGACCAGTATTTATTCAGAGAAAAATATAATTCTTTTGACAATTAAAAAATGCACCTAATATTGACAATGTGAATTATGTTTGGAGATTATTACAATACCTTTGAAAAAAATCTAGTGAATTATTACATATTCCTTTTTTTAAAATTATTATTACCTAGGTTATATTCCGTGGTATTGAAAAAATGTTTAAGAACTCTTCAATTGAAAGAGCATGAAATAAAAAGTGATTACTCCAGTTTGAGCTAAAATTATACCTTCAAGAAATTTTACATATTAATCTTTTGACAATTTATATAAGTTAAAGATAGCACCTTATAAATAGTTCCATGTGACTAGAATGTTTTACTTCAAGGTTGGAAAATGCAACAAATAATGTTCTAGCAGAGAAAAAATTAAATCAAAGAGATCCATAATAAAACATACAATTTTTCACTTTTTCTAATTATATTAGTGGTAGCATGGTGGGTTGAAAACTGCAATAATGTTACAGAAAAATGCATTCCTTCAAGTTTGAAATCATGCCAAAAACATAGATTTGAATCCAGATTAGACATTTCATACCTTCAAACTGGCAGCGATCCTTGTTACTATTTACTAAGCCACTCAGACCATTGGAAATTGATACATCATTATTTTGTGGCAAGATAGACATATAGTATGTATGGTATTTAAGCACAATCACTGGATGTTTAAACTTTTGATAATCAGACAGGCCAAGGAAAAGATGGGAGGGCCTCAGCAGTGACGAAGGGAAAACTGAATCAAAAGCGCAAGCTTCTATGCCAAAACCATAACAGTTCATGATGATTATAATCAAGGAGGATGCAAATAGACCCTCATTCCCAAAAAAAACATTTTTAATTGGTAGAAAATTATCCAATTTCAATCTTAATTCATTTTACTATACAACTGAAATATTAAGATCCTCAAATATTTTAATGCCCTACATTGTGCCATTTTGGACAACTAATTTATTGACACAACTATGCAAACTTTATTTTGATTCAATTTTTTGTACATCTTAGTTTATTTTACAATAGTTTATTATGTACTGTTCATTAAGATAAAATGTTTACTTTTTAATAGTTACAGATGCATTTCAGATATTTTGCTATACCCCATGTAATATTAATTATTTAATTCTTTATGCAGTACTTATTATTAAGAAATTTTGATTTAAAAACTACTAAATTTTGATTTAAAGATGTCTTAATATTAATTTAAAATATCAATAGTAACTGAAAACTGATGCACTAATTTGATCATTGTCTTAGTTGTGAAAACCACCCTCCCTTGGTTATGTAGGTAAAAAAATTAAGCAAGTTATCAAAGGATTAATTAAACACAATCGCAAATACCTAGCAAATAGAACTAGAGTATTATAATCAGAAGGAGATTTTTGCTAGAAGATAGAACTTGCCAAAGAGTTGAATAAAATTTATAAAAAAATACTTTACTTATTGAAAAGTATCTTAAGATTTACTCTTAACATAGACAAACATGAAAGTCGTATAAGAACAAATTGGTACTTTCATGTTTAGAAAATATATTTCTGTAATAATTAATACACACAATTCAAACAAAAATTCTTAAATACCTCTAAGGATGATATGTTGCAAAAAGATAAAGGCAAATATTGCAGAAGTTCAAATCAAGAAAGCACAATTTTAAATGATCTTGTAAAAATGTAATATTTCAGAAGTAATCACAACAAAATCTTATATGCTGAGATGGATCAAAATGCAACAATTCTAAATTCCTTATGTTAATAACTTTAATACCGACTGTCAGATAATTGGTTTTATTTATGTACATTAATATTTATTGAAGATGGTACGCATTACAAACTAAATTATTAAAAATGTTGCAATAGTTTATCTTGTCTGTTCATGTGAAAATATTGTTTAATTATGGACCTCCTCAATTATATTTTAATAGGATATGGTGGAAATCCAAACACTTAATATGAAAATCACTATTTCTTGTCAATTACTTTACAATTAATTCACTAATTACACGGCATTGCATTATGAATAATTTTGCATCACAAACCACATAAAATATTCAATGTTTCCATAAGTGCAAATATTTTACAAAATGACTCAATTTGCCTAGTGAAGTACAACATATTAGAAACGCTCTGTGTGTTGAAAGCATTTCTTGTATAAATACTACTGTTAAACTGTATTACAATATTAGTTTATAAAAAGCCATTACAATCTCTTTTCTTACTAATGAACTGTCTTTTAAATTTTTACACTTCATTGCTAACATAAGGCACATGAAATGAGACTAGAAAGGAAATGTAAATAAAATTCCTAAGCACTAGCACAAAAATTCATGTTTTTTGAGGGTTTTTTTCTTTTCCCTCTCTCAATGTTCAGGAATGTAACTTTTTTGGTATATAATGTACAGCAAAGAATTATAATTTTTTCTTACACTAATGAAATATAACAAATTCCTATTGATATTAAGAACCTTCATTAGTGAAGATCAGATCAATATCACAACAGTTAATAAATAAAGAATTTCTGTACTATGACAAATTTGCAGAAAAAGCTGCCTAAGCTGCTACAACATTACAAAGATCTCATAAGGAAAGTGAAAGAAGTAAAATGTTTTGCACAACAGAAAATCACAATGTAAAGTAAATTGAACCAACTCACAAGTAGAAATAATATTATCAAAGCACTTGCATCTTAAAACTAGATAAAATGCAAACTGTCTTTATCATAGAAATATTAGTACAGAAAGGAACATTAAGGCAGAGAAAGTTCATATAGAAAGACACAAAGGTAAATACATTCCACGTTCTTAATAATATTTTAAGTTTTAAAAACTGAAATATAGTTATTGCAATTCTAACAAGTTGTGACAATTACATTCCAGAGAAGAAGCCCAAAATAAGGTCCAAAAGCCATAGTTAGGAATTAACGCTTACAATAAAAACTAAAGAATTTTTGCTTTTAAAAGATTTGTTAATCCAATACGAAATTTTGCAAAGGTGTTCTGTTGGGCAATTAGCCATTTTAAAAATCTCTGAGAATTGGAACATAAATAATGTTTGAACATTAATTCAAAATTGCACAGGAGAGAATTTATTTTTAATCCCTGAACTAGCTTGTCAATACAATTTCTTTGTTTACCACAACCTAAGAATATTAACATAGAAACATGTTTCAGGGTTTCTATTGCATACTGCAAACAATCCTTTTTTTGTACACAAAAAGAAATATAGTTGCAGAAACAATTCTTATAGTAATAAGAAAGTACACTTCTTTATGTTTTGTCGATCTTTACAAAGTGTTAAAAAACATCTCAATACTGCAAAACTATCACAGAAACTAATCAAAAAACAACCAGAATACCAACATTTGCTTAGTATAAAGGTATATCATCAACAATTTATCACATTTCATTATGGCTATTGCTCCTAGATATATTTACTAAATTTTTAAGCATTGCATCTCATTGCAATTTCATGAAAACTTCAAAAGTAATGTTCTAAATATCATATTGATCTAAAATTTAACCTTGTTATTCAATAGTATACTTCTCATAGAAATTTATTGACCCACTGCACCATAATGAAGTAAATACACTTCTATAAATACATTGATCCCAGAATGAAAAATGAAAAGGTAACAGAATACTCTTTAACATTTTCATTTACTACAAGATAGGTACTTGTGAAAAATAATTATAAAGATATTTAGAATTATTTCTTTGTGATTATTGGATTAGGTAATTTTTGTATAGATATCAGTTTTTCACAAAAATAAAACGAGCGACTATATGCGTGTTATTTGATTCATAATAAATAAGAAAAAGCACAATTTCTAAAATAAAAGTATTGGCATTTCAAAACTAATGTCCAAATTACAAAAATTGTTCAATGGGAGTGATAAAATGTTTATAGAAAAGCTAGTATGGATATGTTCTTTGAAGCATATGACTTTCATGTGTAAACTTCTTATAACTTTTTCATTATTTACAGTAAATAATTTAAAAATCTATTAAAATTGTGGGTGAGGACCACTGTAACCGAATCTTAAGAAATAAAATTAGTACTCCCAATTTCTGAAAATATAATCCATTTACTATTTTTAAAAGTGTTGGAACTTTGTAGCAATGCAAAGAAATATTAAAAGTTAAAAAAAGGCACAATCAGTGTGATTCACGAGATGTTAAAAATAGGCACAATCAATGAATGAAAATGTACAAAACATACAAATAGACATCTCAAGAGCTATCAACAGCTTTAAGGTACGAGGACACGTATTTTTTGCTTGATACCTGTTCTACACAAGGGGCAGTCTTCCAGTGATTGAGAGCACCTGGTGCAACAGCATAAATGGCCACAGGGCACAAATACCACCTCACACTGCAACATAAGCAATTCCCATTATTAGCAATTTTCTTTACTTCTCATTGAAAATTGTGCCTGCTAAATTTAGTTCAGTAAGGCTTATCCACAAGATTTACACTTTTACTTCAACACTCAAGTGCAACGGGCATCCAAATTGTAATTTTTTCTATAACTGTAGTAGGTGTCCTGAATTTTAAACTACACTCTTCAGAAATTTATATATGAGAAATATTGAGGTACGTGTTGACAAATAAAAAGATGCTAGGAGAGAAAATAAATTTTGTGTGCAATTTTTCAACCCTTGTTTGATTTATTCTATCAATACAGTGACAATTTTATTTTGAAGACACTCCTATTTTAACAAAATAGCATTTCAACGTTCTCCTATTCAAAGGCATGTATGGCAATAATTAAAGATATAACTATGAAGAAATAAAAAAGAAGGAAAAAAGATTAAATATGCGTCATTATTGAGAATATTTTGAAATTGTTCCAGGGGCTTTAAAAAATACCCCCAAACATTAAGATATTCATTCCAAATTCACAGGGCCTTGAGTCATGCCAGATCTTTCAGGAATTTATTTACTTTATGAAAATCCTATTTATGGTTTCAGTGCTAGTGTTGTTCATACACTAACAGATCTTTCAAAAGAAAGACCTATTTCAGTATCAGGGCTTCACAAAACATGTATTTCTGTAAAAATCCATAATATACTAACTTTCTCTGTATGTCTTCTATACTACATACATGAGAAAGTAAAAACAAAATAAAAATTTAAACTTTTAGTCCTCAATCCTATTCAAGTGCCACAACGATAATTTCTTTAAATGATATGATTGATCTGTAGGTCGAGGGAAAACCAAAGTAATATAAACAATACAAAGGAATACGTCTGAATAACAGAACCATAAAACCTACCTCTTTATCCATACAGACCACACATTCAGCACCACCAAAATTGCTAACAAGCTCCACATCTGATTGGGCTGGGGCAGTGGGTTGTTCCTGCTTTGATGCCTCTTCAGACAGTTTTCCAACTCTCTGCTGGTGCTCTTCCAGGTAAAAGTGAACTGCTTTCAGTATACTCTCACGGGTTTCACAAGATGATATTCCAGCCTAGATGAATAAACAGAATAACACTTGGAGAGATGCTGCAATTTCTTTTTCTTTAATTACAGTAATGTAATTTACCAACATAAAATTATCTTCCACAAACCAAGCAAATACAATTTTCTGTGTATTTTTTGCTACATTCTCAGAGATCATAATGGGTCACACCCCCAAAAAGTCTACTTTTGTGTGTAAATAAACAATGAGTGTGTTATTTGGCCAATGTTGAAGTAGTGAAGACCGCCAAAAAAGTCTGAATAATTAAAATTAATTATGAAAGATTATTTTGCTTTATTTCAAGTAATAAAAGTGCTCCATATCCTGATAAAATACCTATAATATTATTGATAAACTGTAAGCAAATGTTAAACCTATTCTGCACTTTATGTTTGTGAAATCTTAGCAAGAGGGTGTCATCCCTGAGATTTGGAAGACTAGTTTTATTAATCCTATTTTTAAAAAGTTCCAACATAAAAAATTACAGACCCTCTAAATTATGTGTTATAACAAAATTGATGGAATCTAGTATAACAACTAAATGGATGAAGAGAGTTAAACAGTTTTTGATTGAGAAACAATATAACTTTAAATAAAAGAGGTCAATGGTTATTAACTTGCTAACATTTCAACACTACTAGCTTGAAAATCTGTACCAAAGAAACCAAGTTGACGTTATCTATATCAATTTCTCTAAAGCATCGACACTGTTAATCATTGTATCTTAATTTGTATTCAGAAGAATATGGGTATCCATGGTTCCCTCTTGGAATGGTTTGAAAATTATTTCATGGGCAAGGTTCAAAATGTTAAAAATAAATCTTTCATATCTAGGAACATCTACATTACCACCAGAGTTCCACAAGGTTCTCATCTGGGACCTTTGCTTTTCATAATTTTACTCCTGGGTCCAGAGAAATAATTACTCTGTTTTTATCTCTTTCCTTTTTCTATTACTACAGATCCAAATAAAAACTACATTCTCTCTTTCTCTGGTCTCTTACAATATTACAGAAGAATGGGACTCACCTGGATGAGCTTTTCATGGGACAACTGCTCCAACATTGAAGGATTCAGCACCCACTGGGTTAGCAAAGGTAAGCAATGAACAACTCCTTCTCGAAGCAAATGTTGAGCAAGGAGGGGATCCAAACTGCATTCCAGTTCCGACAAATTTGCACTTCGTAAATCCAAGAGGCGCTGATACTGCACCAACCAGAAATCATACGCTCTTTGTTGTTCTTCTTCAGCGCGCTGGCGTTCAAGAGCATGTAGAGTTTCAAGAAGCTGCTTGCGTCTTGCAGCTTGTTGTGCCAGCAGATCTACCAATAACTCCGAGAGAGCTGTCCTTTTGAGGCTCAAATCCTCCTGTAAATAGTAAAAAAAGCTTTTATGCATTCAATAAAAAACAAAATACTTCAAAATATTAGAGAATTTATCCAAAGTAATGACACCTTCCACCCCCTCACTTCTGACCAGAATCCATAGTTTTGAAAAGGGCTTCAGCCAGGACAGAGAAGATTTCTCTGATGTTCTTTTCCAAAACCACAGATTTAATCTCAAAACAGTGTTTATTTTTGCACATTTCTCCAGGAATGTATTACAGGTGTTGAATGCTTTCCTTACAGTTTTTTCAAGCCTTGACGACTCAAATTTTGAAGAAGTATGATATTAATTTATTCCCAAAAACTTTTGATGAAAAAGTGCAGTGTGATGAGCCTATTTAAATAATATAATTTATTATTAAGCATTTTGCCATCACGGTAGAAAATGATTAATTAAAAATACTTCATTACCATGCAGCCCAAATGGAAAGAACTAACATAAATAATATAAATCATTTCCATCATCATTATTAAAAATTATAAATGTTCTACAAATATTTGTATGTGGCCGAACAGAACGAGCAGGGATGTTCAAAAATATGTTGACATCCACTTGGACATCCGCCTTTCCAAATGACGTTCTCAGGGAGATTCCCTCAATAAGCGGCAGGGTATTTAAAGGGACCTCCCAAAGCACCAGGATGCACAGTTCTACCTATAGAGTTCAACAATGCCATATTGCCACCCGTGTGACAGCCACTTAGTGAGGAAGACGAGCGACATGACTACCAGCAACAGCGAGATGCCCACCGGAGAATTGGAGGTGATGTTAAGAAGCGAAAGGCCAACATGAGGGCACTCGACATCCTTGACATCGCTCCATTGCGCTTCCTTCCCTCTCATTGTCTTTCTCATCTCTTCCCTATCATTCCTGGTGTTTCCACATGTAGTAACTTCAGAGATAATCAAGCAATTAAACTTAACTGAATATAACTTCCCTAACTATTTCTTCTCCGGCCATAACCCCCTTACCCTTCCGATCACTCTGATTATTTCTCGTGTGACAACCTCTCCTATATGAATTATACTCATTAGACAGCATTTACATGGGACGTCACAGCAGTTAATTTATTGGGAAATTCAATAGAAATATTAAAGAGCTTATAAATGTTGCCTTGAATATTCCAAAACTTACCACTTGCTCCGATATTTGAAGATGGCGACGCTTCATTTCAAGGGCTGTCAAAGTTGCCAGCTGCTCCTGAACAAGCCGTAAATGTTGTGTCAAACCCCATGATCGAGCATCACTACGTTCCAATAGTGTAGCAACAGCTGCTCGCTGAAGCTCTTCATTTCTCTGCAATTGATTTATCAGACCATCTCGATCTTGTTCATGGTTCAGGATCAATTTACTCAAAGCACGGTCATTCTCCATTTCTCTACAAATAAATATATTCATGTTATTTCAGGAACATTAAAAAATTCGAAATTATACTATTTTTCTCTTCAAAGCAAATTAATACTTATATTGTAGACAATTTGATTGGCAGTCTGATTTACAGAGGAAATTGCTCAATTTACATGACTTAGTGTTTATTTCTCCAAGTAACATAGCTAAAAGGGATCTAGTACTATTCACTGAGCTCTATTCAAAATGAACATAACGATAGTCCTGAATTTATAACTCACTTCACAATGTGATAAGTTACATGATTCACTGGAAAAAATTTATTTAGAAACAAAAACACATGACTCAAAAAACTTCATTACTTCATTACGCCAACTTAATAAAAAAATTTCCTCTGTGTCCTGTGTTCTCATTCTGAAGCTATTGTCAGAAGTGCAATAATAATGCAAGCCATAGTATACAAACTCTGAGTATATAGCATCAATTCATTCATCCAAGTGAAATTTATAGTGGACAAAGTGGGACCACTATCAAAGTGGGACCTCCCATATCCCCTACCATCATATCACCATTGATCCATTCACATTCATATCATATGACCATTTCCGTCAAAATCATTCATACACTCAACATATGGTTTTAAACATTACGAATATCTTAATAAAGAAAATCATCAAAACAACGAAAGGAAAGAAAATAGCATGTCATTAGTAGGTCTTATCTTGAGTAATATCCAATCACTTTCTTCAACATCATTTAAATCATTTAACTTTACCGTGTACACTTCCCTAGCTCCAGGGATCTTCCTTTCTTACACCTTTCCTAGATACCTTCAGAACCCAGATAATCTATTATATCTGTTGACACCTCTTTTCATTCTTACGTAAGTAGGAAATTGAGATTTTGAGTAAATTAATTCTGATTTTATCAAGGCAAATGGATCAACAAAGTGTGTAGATGCAGTGTTCTAGCCTGCAATTCATAAATTATGTCCTCACAATCATTATCTCAGTAATAATAATTATGTGGAAGCTGAGCCATGCTGTATCCCTTTATTCAGAATAGTGAATTAGATATTAGGTCTCTTGATATTGCCTTGATTTCCTGGGGTGAACATCTGTACGTAACAGTTGAAAGATGAAAAGTCAAATACAATCTTGACAACAAGCAGCATCCTGAAATTCATAATTATTTCATATGTATCAACAAAAGATACTTTTGATATATACTTCTTTTCATTGTGTTCAGAATATTACAAGAAAACTATCTTCCTAGTTCATTAAGAGATTCCTTTTAAATAAGAATTTGTTGAAACCAACATCTTCACACTTGAAGTAATAAATATTACCCTTAATATCAATATATCACCTAATGATAAAACTATTTACTATTTTGTTCTCATTCTGTGCAGCTGCAACCAAACTTGTTTTCTTCACTTCAGCTCCTTTAAAAACATGTCTGGCAAAGCCACAAGTTGAAGATAAATATAAAACTTTTATCAGTGCAGAGCTGGGGCTCTCCCAATCTTCTTCTATGTTCCCAATATTTCAAGTATTCTACCAGCATCTATTCTTGGAGTATTCTACCAGCCTCTTTTCTTCTTAATTAGAGATCGTAGAGGAAAACAGTATACAACCAGGGGTAAGCATGTTTTCAATTATCTACACAAGATGAAATAAGATCAGCTTGAAGGGAGTGTGTGTTACAAAAAGGGATAGAGAATTACGAGGGCTAAGCAGAAGCATTAGAGACTGCTACTTACTGATTCAGAATCGTCCTTGTGGATTCAGCTCTTCCCCTTTCATATTCACGAATCTTGGCTTCTCGCTGAGCCTCCTCCTCTAGTATATTTTCCATGGCACCTTTACAATAAATATTTTAAAAAGTCTCAATAAAGGCAGCTTTAGAATGAAAAAGTGAATTCTCCAAAACATATCCAGCAAAAACTGATCTAAACATTTATTTGACCAGAAGAACATAAATAAAATAAATAAAATTTCCTCTTAGTGCTTAGTGTTGCCAGTAATACATATTGATACTGATATTCATCTGGTACCAATATATATCTCAAGCCTCAATATATCTAAGCCCATAAGAGTGGAGCAACAACAAATGTAAAGAAGGCCCAGGCTTTTGGGGAGCCATAGAAAAAAGTTATCCCTAAATGTAAATTTTTCTTGTTTATTCAATTGTGATTTTTTGAACATTCAAATCAATATTTGTGATAACTGAAAACCCTATGGGCTAGGTATTTGGAGGAGAGGGGAGGTATACAAGTTGTCTGTGGGCCAATGAATTCTATTGGGGGGGGCCCTACTCACTATTGCAAGTCCTTCCTCAACTCGGGAACCCAAGCAGCTTGAAATCTCCCAGTAACTGCCACAAATATTGCCTTCTCATATTTTCCTGTATATCCTATCCCCTTTCTTTTGGGATAAAGAAAGTCCCCCAAGTTCGGGGTAACATGGTGGAGACCTCAATAACATTTCAGCTGAAAAGGCAACCATTCTTAGAAAGCAAGATTGGAAGTTTAGAGATGGCAGTCTCATCACCAATCAAAACTACAGCGAACTAGTAATCAAACCAGATAATAATGCTAACATTCAATTTAATATTGATCAACAAATGACATTTATAGCAATCAAGAAACAAATAAAAATCACGCACAAAGGGCTTTCATAATGTTTAAAAAGTTAAATATATTTTCTCTAAAATAATTCTGTCTGCTATAAACTTAATTTGATGAAGAATGTATTTCAGAGTTCATGACAATGACAAATGATGACGATGATGATGATGATGATGAAGTTGAATCACATAATTTCCAATGCCATAATCCAGTAATCAGCTAGGATCTAATCTAATCAGCAAAACATGACTATAACAACCCAAAACCTTGTATTGTTACATTTTTTGCAATGAAATTTAAAATTTAACTAAACTAAATATCTAATTTAAAAAATAAAAAATGTATTTATTTATAAAATTAAAAGTCATCAAAATAATGGATTCTTATTTTCAACATTTGAAATGAAACGCACTGAATATCTCACCAAAAGATATAAGGAACTTGAAGAGGCTACATACTAAGAACATCTTTCCTGATTAAAGACTGGTACTCTTCCTGACAAGAGGCCAACAACTGTTCTTCTTCTCGACTTTCTTGTTCCAACAAAGTCTGAATTTGAAGGGAGTCCTTCAAGCTGCACGAGGCCAGCAGCTGTGTGATGAGGTTATCTGCAGCTGCTTCCACTAACAGAAAAATAATGTAGATATAATATACTCAGTTAAATAATCAAGAACAGCAATTTTAATATCTGCTTTATATACATATCCTCCAAGAAATTGACATATAATTGAATAATAACCCTTATGAGGAATCCAACACAAACAATACTGAAAGTTGGGTTTGATTGGAATAGTAATGTAACAAAAAATCTTTGAACGTGGTGTAGAATACCGACTTTAAATGTGATTCTGATCTCTCCATAAAGAATAATGGAAAGTGGAAAAGCTTGTCCTTAAATATGAAAATAAAGATGGAATGATTAATGTTTTTGGGTGCATCAATTGCGATGTATGTTAACCCCACAGTGCATATATATCTCAGGTAGAGGAGGTACTACATCTCCTCCAGCAGGAAAAGCTCTAAGCTCCCAACAGGTCTCTCATTGTATGATGGTGTAAAGCAAGTAGGTGAATGTGTAATTGTCAGTGCAACGGGAGAGGTGTAGATGAGGAAGAAACACTGTGTAGTACTCTAACAAATGCAACAGTTTGTTTACTTCTCCTGTATTCCCCTCGAATTGATCAGAGAAACCATGGAAAACTACTGAACACAAGCCAGCCCTTAGAATTCTCATTGAGACAGTAGTTGAATTTGAACTCGATATTTAGCCAGACTTGGGAATTGGGAACGAACCCCGCGGCCCCCCAGTCAGGAAATTCTGCAGAGACAATGGTAATGGTACCTCTGAGCTTCTCAGATGGTTAAAATTAAAGAATACAAAAGTAACTTCATTTAATGTATTAATGGAATATAAAGAGAATTTACATATTACTTGACACCAAGTAAGATCAATTGGGAGCATTCACTTGCTATAAAAACTAACTGAAGAGATGAGAGGATTATCCCGCGAACCTATATTTTACTCATAAATTGTTAAAATCTCTACAACAAATTGTGCTGTTACACTTGTGTTGAACACAGTTTTATTTGGGTATTGTACATTACAAATAATTTGAAGATACTTAATTGAACAACACATGTCTGTGATGTAATTAATGGAAGACATCTCTTTGAAAGTAGGAAAAAGTATCTCATAATTTCTATCTTAAAATATATAATCTTGATATTTAGCACTATAATTGGAAAACAAAGGCAGATAAGAAGAGAAAAACATATCAAGACCAACAACACTTTTACACCACAAAAGACAAACACAACTGAGAATGTAACTGTTTAATTCTTCCACAATAAAATTATTATAAAACATTATTTTGCATGTTATTAAAATATTTTTGATATTTTTGATATTTTGAGGAGAGAGAGAGAGGGAGGAGAGAGAGGAGAGAGAGAGAGGGAGGAGAGAGAGGAGAGAGAGAGAGAGGAGAGAGAGAGAAGAGAGAGAAAGAGAGAAGAGAGAGAAAGAGAGAAGAGAGAGAGAAGAGAGAGAAGAGAGAGAAAGAGAGAGAGAAGAGAGAGAAGAGAGAGAAAGAGAGAGAAAAGAGAGAGGAGAGAGGAAGAGGAGAGAGAGAGGAGAGAAGGAAGAGGAGAGAGAGGAGAGAGAGAGGAGAGAGAGGAGAGAGAGAAGAGAGAGAGCGAGAGAGGAGAGAGAGGTAGAGAGAGAGGAGAGAGGGAGGAGAGAAGGAGGGAGAGAGAGAGGGGAAGAGAGAGGTGGAGAGAGAGGGGGAGAAGAGGGGAGAGAGAGAGGGGAGAGAGGGAGAGAGAGAGAGGGGAAGAGAAGGGGAAGAGGGGGAGAGGAGGGGAGAGGGGGGAGAGAGAGGGAGAGAGAGGGGGAGAGAGGGGGAGAGAGAGGGGCGGAGAAGGGGGGAGAGGGCGGAGGGAGAGAAGGTGGAGGGAGAGGGGAGAGAGAAGGGAGGGGAGGAGAGGAGAGAGGAGAGAGAGAGAGAATGAAAGAGACAGAGAAAAAGAGACAAAAAGAGAAAGAGAGAGAACGGAACAAAAGGAAAGAAAGAAAGGAAGGAAGGAAGGAAGGAAGGAAGGAAAGAAGGAAAGGAAGGGGAATAAGGAAAAGAAAGGAAATACAGGAAGAAAGGAAAGACAGAAAGGAAAGAAAGAAAGTAAAAAGGAGAGAAAAAAGAACAGAAAGAAAGAAAGAAAGGAAAAAAGAAAAAAGAAAGAAAGAAAAAAATGGAAAGACACATAGAAGGGAAAGATGGAAAGAAAGAAAAATAATGGATTTCTCTAGCTTAGAAGTAACAAATTTCCTATATAATTCACAAAAAAAATCTAATAATTGGCTTGAAAGATTAATCATGGAAACAAATATACAAATAATTTAATATTTTATTTTTGTAAGTGGGAACATGTAACATGAGATGATTAACTCAGAAAGAAATGGAATTAAACATAACTATCATTACTAAAATGAAAAAGAGAAACAGAGAGCCTAAAGATCTAAAATATCATATTTTTATTATTTATTCTGGAGTAGAGGAAGAAGAATATGCTGCTGCTGAAGTAGCTTTAATAGTAAATAAGAAATAGAAAGATTCCAAAGATGAATATAACTGAAAATCCCTGAGATTAATAACAATGAAATTGAAAGTGAACAAACACAAACTAAATGTAATAGGAGTATACGCTCCAGTTGAAGGATTGGCAGAAGAATCTGAATGTGATAATGAAATACTCTGTGCAAAGGCCCAGAAGTGGAAAGAACAATAAATGGAAATGGGAAAATGCAACTTAACTTTTGCCTGTTCAACAACTCAAGGATAAAAAAATAGTTTTTTCAAACATAAAGAAAATCACAAATTCACTTGGGAAGAAAGAGGCACAAGATCTATCCCAGACTATGTAATAGTCAGCAGAAACTTATTTAACTATGTCAAGAACACTTAAGTATTTTGAAGTTGTGAAATAGAAACAGACCACTATTTGGTAGAGAGCAAACAAACTCGCATTACAACAAACAAAGCTAATGAAAATAGTAATAAAACACCCCCAAAACTCAAGGTATTCCTTCTAGAAGATAAAAGTATCAGAACCACAAAATATTCTCAGAATTTAGAAAGTATCTATCTACAGAAGAAAAACAAAATATTGAGACATTGGAGTTTACTTAAACAAACTATGATTGAAGCAGGAAAAGAGAGTGTAGACTATAAACCATTCAAGGAAACTAAATGGTTGAGAACATGGGACAATGATCTAAAAGAGATGATAAATCAGAAGAAGAAAGCATACAGAACCTATCTCCAAAAACGAAGAGAAAAACTACATGGAATATAAGAGATTATGGGCCAAAGTGAAACAAGTCAGTTGAATACACAGTACCGAGGACTGGAGAAAATTTGTTAAAAGCATAGAAAGAGATGTATCAGGCCCTCAACGAATGGGTTTCAAAGTTTTGAAACTGCTGCACATGAATGAGAAAGATAAAACTAGACTAGATGGCATACCAGAAGAAAATTGGATAAAACTACTCCACCCTGTGGAACAATGCAACTGTCAGGTCTAGTGAAGTGCTGAGAGGAACAAGCCAAATCTCTGACAATGTTGAACTAGCCAATACACTGAATATAGAACTCGAGGCAATATTAAGAAAAGAAAAAAAAGGAAAAGCCCCGGACCAGATGATGTTAACATAGAACTCATAACATATGGAGGAAAGGAGCTGAAAGAAATGTTATTACAACTTTCTAACAAAGTATGGCAAGTGAAAACAATTCCCATAGTGGCAAGAGGTTTGGTAATTAATATTCACAAGAAGGGTTCAAAGAAGATATGTGACAATTATAGGAGCATTACATTACAATCAACAGCTTCTCAGTTATATGCAAACATGCTGAGGAACTGACTCAATGAAATATGTGAGACTTTCATGGGAAAAAGAGCAGTGTGGATTCTGAAAGGGTAGAGGCACTAAAGATGTCATCTCTACATTACAGATGTTAATAGTCAAAAGAAGAATTTACTAACTTTTATAATATTTATTGATTGTGAAAAGGCTTACAACAAAGTTAATAGACAGGGAAATACTAGAAGAGGAGAAAGTTCCAAATCAGTTCTACAATGCAATACAAAGTCTCTACAAGAACTCAATAATTATTTGGGGCAACTATTTAATTGTCATAGGAAATAGTGTAAGTGCACTGGTAATTTCTGATAAAATCTTGAGGCATGTAGTCGCAAGGGAATTTATTTGGAAATTTTTTATGCATAATTGACATTTAATAAGACTAATAAGATCAAAACATATCATAATTGCCAAATAATTTTTGGGGGATACATTGTTATTGTTGGTGCAAACCAGATGTATAGTTTAACTCTATTGGTGTCAATTTCTCAACCAGAATAATCAATTTAACACTACAAACTAACATTTCTACAATTGCCACACACAAATTTATTTTGAAATTGGAGAACGAAATATTTGATCATATGGCTTTGCCAGTTAATCAATTCAAAGCAATGAATCAAGTTTTGCTATGGGATATATATGCTCTTTCTGAACTAACCTTGTTGAATTTCACACATAAGATGCAAACGTTCTGCTTCACGTTCTTGTTGCACCCGCAGAATTTCATTTTCCAAATGACTTTGTTGTTCAGCTAAATCTTCCAAAAGCTGATAGAAAACACCCAAAATTTATAACAGGGTTTTAATTTCAACATTGTATGACCTTAAGAAAATGAATGTACCTTTTCTTTATTATTTTTCATAGCATTTTGCAATTCTAGTTCTTTTCGTTGTTGTTCAAAAATGCCTTGTTCTAAAGCTAATCGTTCTCGTTGTTTTTGTTCCTAGAGAGAATAATGTTTATAAGTGCACATTTTAAAAAGCCATAAGTACAAATAACTTCACAATGTACAAAATCTGAAATGTACATTTAATATTTTTTCAACTTTTTTCAGAAAAAAAGTTTTCTAAAAGAGAAAATGGTCTAATTATTTACCTGAAGTTGAAATATGGCACTATACAATATTAAATATGAGCATTTAATCACAATAAAATGTTTCCATTTCTATCAATCGACATCAACTAAGTCATGATACGCAAGAACATGCAACCATCTTCACACTTTTTTTAACAAATTATCTAACAGAAGCAATGACATTAATGCACAAAGATAACAGATCTCTACAACACTCAGAACTTAAAAAATGCATTAAAATCTCTTTATTTACTGAAGACAATTTTTAAAAAACAGTTGAAATTATATGAAAGTCATTTCTAAAGTAAGAATCATTTGCCTGGATATATACATATGAAAGTTGATGTTTTTACCATAACCTGATCCTGAAAATGTCTTGATTTCTCCATGGTTGTGGCTTTTAATTACAATTTTTCAGAGCAGTAGTCTTAGTTTCTCTGTGAATTTCATAATCAAGTTGTCTTTTGAATTCTCAGTGGCATTATTTTTGCTAACTGAACAGTTCAGCCACAGGGTAACCAATAAATTTATAATCAAATTCCCTGACATTTTCTTGACTTTTAAAAGATATCTCAAAAATTGTTTTGAAATTTTTTAAAATATTTTCATATCTTATTTTACAATAGTATGGAATACAAAAAAGGGGCAAAAGATAAGAGAGATAAAAGCAAAAGACATGAAAGAAAAGTTTACCTTATCATAAATAATGTTTCTTTCCCTATTAAAGATTCTTTCTTTAAAAAATGATCTTCAAATATTTGCATTATATTTATTATCAAAAACAATCTCATGGCTTCAAATTACTATAGTTTCATTACATTCAAATGTTACACATACTTTAATTTATAATGGTGTATATTTGCTAGAAATTGTAATTCTCTTCCGCAATTATTTATTTTTAATAAACATAAAATAAATTTTAATGGTGTTAGTGCAAATTGTCACCATATTAATAACTATCACCATTTTACGTTATTATATACAAATATTATTTTGGAAATGAGCATATTAAAAAAGATTGAGATTTACCACTATGGATTGCCATTTGAAACTACATCTGATTGTACTTTCCCCAAGAATTACTTTTCCAATCACATGAAAAGAATCAGCTACAATCAAAAGAAAGGAAAAGAATTACATTGCCTGACTACATGCCTTTAGGGTCTCAAGCTGCAGGATTTTCGCCTAGAATGGAAAGGGAACACAGCAATTAATATACAAAGCCACTGAGAACAACTTGAAAAGGCCCTTAAAAATCTAACAGACCTCAATTCATGTAGAGTGACTACCTTTCTTGCATTAAATCCAAAATTGTAGAAACCAGGTAATAAACCAAGACAGATTGAGCATGAAGGAACTCTTTTTGCATTTATGACACATTAATTGGAAAGAAATATACTCCCACAAATATGAATGAAAATAATTGTTAATCCAATAATTCAATTTCTTTAACCCATTGAAAATGGTGGTATAAAGGGTATTGATGATATCTATAAAGGCAAAAAACATTGACCCTCCGCATGATGAAGCAAGACAAAATATAATCCACAATGCAAAATATAATAACAGACAGAACTAATAAGATAAGATACTCTGAATCTTTTCCAAACTTTGGAGACTATCAGTCCAACATTAATTACTATTAAAATATTTTTTTCTTTTCCTCTCTCAAGGCATTTCATTCAATATGAAGAGGCCCTTGAGACAACCACATGCTGGAAAGTGTCATGGTAGTCACCCTACAAGATGCATAATGCTATCCATCACATCAACATGCTGGCACAAAGTGCAAAATAGGCTAGTACATTAACTGTTCCTTAAAAGTAAATGTGAGAATTGCGAGATCATTCACTGTGTATGTTACCTATCAATTTTTATAAAACAATATACTTCACTTTAAACTATACATAGAACCATCCATCAGAACCAATGAATTTCTACAACAGCAATAAAATATTACACCAAACCAGTGTTTCAAAATAATCAATTTATCCATCCATACACAAAAGGATATTTACGCTAAGGAAGAGAATCAACTTCTTACCTGGAAACCATCATCTGTTTCTTTGAACTGAGCCCATTTCCCATCTCTTTCACTCTCTGATGCTTCCGAAGGAACAAGCTTTGGCAAAACATATTCTACACCTTCTTCTGCAAAATGATAGAAAATGCAACATAGAATAAAAAAGCACCCTTAACGTACACAAGGCAAATTTTGCAAACTACAAGGTATCATCACTAAAAGGCAAAGGTATAAGCTCAGGCATCATACTAACAATTAAAAACAATTTATGACACAGTGTACTTTAACCCCTATATTGATATTCCATCATTCAGTACAATTTTTACACACTTCGAAATAACAATATAAGTTCAGACTATTAATAACCAATTAATAATTTAACTATCACCATTTTACTTTATTGTATATAAATATTATTTTGGAAATGAGCATATCATTAAAAAAGATTGAGATTTACCACTATGGATTGCCATTTTAAACTACATCAACAGAGCGGTTCCATATTTGTAACTTAACATATGATCTCACACACATAATTTTTGTTAATAAATTCTCAAATTTCCTTAATATTCAATTAAATTAGTGTATTATAATTGCATTCTGCAAAAATCTTTTATGACAAATAGGAATGGACCTGTTTACAACAAGAGAAAATTATGTAAATAATGGAATGTTAGCAATTCCCTTTCCCTTTCTATGGTGACCACTTGGGGCTATAAAATTACGTAGGTTAGTGTGAGGGGTTTTCATAAGGACAGCCTTTAATTTAAAGAAAAATAGTTTCATTTAATTTTTAAAGCTATGTTAACATTAAATAAAAATATGAGCTACCAGAACACAAAAACTGCATGACAGCTGATGTTCCCCCTTCTATGACGTCCTTGGGAGGATATTCAAAATTTGTTTTGTCTACATGTAACTCTGCCAATGAAACTGCATGGCACAAAGACGATGGAAGTCTAAGCAATTTCTTGTTTAATTGCAAATCTAAAACTCTTAGAAATTGGAGTCTCCCAATTGATGAAGGTATGTTTTTGAGGTTGTTATTGGATACATTAAGGATGCGTAAATTAGTCATTTCTCCAATATTTTCAGGGAGATGAGTTAATTTGTTGGTACTGACATTCAGCTCCTACAACAGTGTACAAAATAACATTAACATCAAATGAATGAAAAAGAAATAATAAGATTAAAACAGTCTCACTAAATGTCCATACCTTGAGACTTGTCAAAGTTACTATTTCATCAGGTAATTTCAATAGACAATTGGAATGTATATCAAGTATTTGTAACAAGTTAAGATCTTCTATCTTACCACCACCTACTAAAGATGTCAACTGATTTTGCTGCGAAAAAAAAATTAAATAAATAAAGAAATTATATTGAACCTCATGTTCTGTACACAGACAACAATTAGAATCAATGAAACTACCTGTAAAAATAAAGCCTCTTTCCTAAAAACTTTTATTAATGCAAAAATTCCAGATGGAACTGCTTTCAGGTTACAGTCAGACAAATCAAAATCTGATTCTGGGCTCACACGTGCCTATTAAAACAAGTCATATACTTTCAAACACTTTTATTACAGTAATTATCAATTAAAAGATAGAATATTTACTGAATAGAATTCATTAAATAGTGTATGTCCATTAACCACTGAAGAGAAAATCAATGTTATGTCAAACAAAGAGTGTAATGAACTTTTGTTTAAATGTAAATGATAACTAACCAAATATAGTTTGTTCTCCAACCTCGCTTTGTAATCTACAGTATTTTCTTTCCTTCTAAAAAATGACATTGTTATGTCAAAACACGTAAATTCACACAAGAAAAACAAACAACCCCACTACACATTCTGGACTCTTGCAAAATACATTTTCTCAACCACATCCCGCACCATACAAATGTCGAATTTGTCGATTGTCGTCGATGTTATTAGGTCGATCAGAGGTCGATTTGAGGTCGATGTATCACTATCATGTGAACCTCTTTCGCTCAATGATATACATGATATATATGGTAGCATTCGCCAATTTTCAAAATTGCGATATCTGAAATCATATTTGGTCAAAAATACAACCACTTAGGATTTTAAAAATTTTTGGTAGAGATAAGTAAATATTCATTTTTCGAGATAATTGGAAGTCAAAAACAAGTATTGTCATTGTTCTTCGTGATCAACATTGTCCTTTGATCTTGAGATGCAACCACGGTATAGTAAGAAATACATTTTACTCTCCCGTATACATACTTATATAGTACGTATTATAGGGGAAGTTAAGTAATGCTGCGGAAAATCGATTTCGAGATTTCAAATAAAATACACGTTTACGTGTCCCCTGATATCGAAAAAGTGTTGTTTTTTTTCAAAAAATCTGTCCGTTCGTGTGTCTGATGTACGTGAACACTAGTGCCTAAACAATGCGTAGGATTTTTGCCAAATTCAAGCAACCCTGTCCATTTCGTCTGAGTCGAAGCTCTGCGACTTTGAAAATCAATCATTGGTTTTTGAGGGTACTTTACACAGAGAGTATTTTACATGTAGCTCCAGGGACATATTAAAGATTTTCTCAAAAATGACTCCATTTTTTTTTCTGTAAATTTCTTCTAAGAATATAGTCATATACACTTCTAAAGATTGGGGCTTTCAGGGTTAACTGTGAATTTTCGATAATTGCAGAAGTTTGATTTTTTTCGGGTCTTTCTACAAATAGAAAAATAAAGATAATTTTCCGTGAAATGAAATGTATTGTCCATAATTTGTTCTTTTATTTAAGTCATGTACATGGTTTTCAAAATTTTAGTAGTTTTCGAGCAATATTTCGGGCAATTAACGCAATTTTAAAAAGAATACAAAAACAAGATTTTCTCGAAAACGGTTCCAAATATTTTCTTTAAACTTTTGGTAAGGGTTGTTCTAAGTACACTCTATAAGGTGACAAACGATACATTGCTCGATTCTTTTGTTTTTTCAAGAATTACAAACATTTAATTTCATTGAGTTGTCTGTCACGCCATTACTATTTACATTAGCGGCAATTTGTTCTCATAATTATATTTATGAGTACTTGTGCTTTAAATAATGTAATATAAAGGTTATTGAAAAGTCAACCGTATTCTGTGAAAACTAACTCAAAAATTTGCATTTTCAGAAACGCACAAATGCTATTTTCTTAAAAAACTGCTCCCAATTTTTTCTTTAAACTCTTCGACCGGGTAGTGCTAATTACACTGTTTAATATGAAATAAAGTTCATTACGTTTTTTTTTTTTAATTACACAAGTGTAATATTTTTGAAAGATCTCTCTCGCCGCTAATATGCACATTTCCCAGAATTTTCGATCTCTATTGTATTAGTTAAGTGCTTCAAATAACTTCTAATTAAGTTTTTCAAAAACTCTAAAAAAAATGCTGTGCAAAAGAGCTTGAAGTGAGTTGAAGCTCTGCGATTTTGAAAAATATTCATTAATTTTTGGGGGTCTTTACATGAAGCCCCGCAGACATTTTCAAAATTTTGTCGCAAACGGATCCAACTTTTTTCTTTAGATTTCTTGTAAAAATAGAGTAAAATACACTTATAAAGGTGGCATAAGGCTTATTTTCACTGATAACTGAATTTTCGATAATTGCAAAACAATTTTTTCGGCGACTTTCTACAACTGCAAAATTGAAGATATGAGTTTTCCCTCAAATGAAATTTATTCTCCAAAATTAGTTCATTCATTAAGGTCATGGACATTTTTCAACATTTTTGTAGTTTTCGAACAATATTGTTTGTAATATGTGCAATTTAAAAAAGTAACTAAAATAAGATCTAAGAAACTAATTTTCTAAGGCTCTAATTTTTTTTTCTTTAAACGTTTGGTAGAAATACTGCAATATGTACTCTATGAGATGACATAAACGCCATAGTGCTCTATTCTTTTTCAAAAAATTACAAAAATGTAATTTTTTGACTTTTTCTCGCGTCATTAATATATTTTCGTGAATTTTTTAACAATATTTTATTGATGAGTACATGTGCTTTAAATGTCATATAAAGTTTCTCGATAACTCTACCGTTTTCTTTGTAAACTAGCTCAAAATTCCACATTTTCAGAAACGCAAAAGCGCATTTTTCTCAAAAACGGCTCCAAATTTTTTCTTCAAACTTTAAGAAAACAAATAATGCTAATTGCACTCTTTAATATGAAGTAAAGTTCATTTCGTGGTATTTTTTTTTTAATACACAAATATAATTGTTTGAAATATCTCTCTCGCCGTTAATATGCACATTTCCAGGAATTAGTAAACTTTATTGCATTTGTGAGATGAAGTGCTTTAAATGACCTCAAATACGGTGTTTCGAAAAACTCAAAAATGTTCTGGGAAAAAGCTTAAAATTTCAAATATACATACAAAAGAGCGCTTAAACACTTTTTTTAAGCGGCTCCACATTTTTCAATGAAAATTGCCATTTAGGACAAGGTTTAACTGTTCTTTAATATTCTTAAAATAACAATTAGGAAACCGAAAAATTCAGAAAATTGAAAAAAAAATGCTTTGGCGGTGATAGATGGCAGCTGGCAAGAGTATGTGGCAAGTCAGAATAACTAGCCGAGACCAAAGAAAATAGAAAATAATACGGGAAAGTATATGCCATTCTGTAGCACTACTAGTTTAAAATTAATTAAAATAATTTTAAATCTCGAATTGAATTAGATAAACCATACAAATATTTTGTAAAGATATTTACTATTAAAAATAGGAATTACTTCATTAAATGAAAAAAAATAATTTAAAAATTTTAGAAGACAATTGCCTGAAAGAAAAATAATTTCATTCAACTTTCATGAAGGAAAAAATTAAGCGAGGTTTAAATTTTGTCAACTGTGTTCTTCTTAATTCATAAATCTATTATTCAATTCATAAACATGATGAATTTTATGATGTAACTATGTGACAAAAGATATTCACATACAAATATATATTCAGATAGTTATAAGTTAAATAGTTATAATTCAGGCTTAGATACCAGGACCTTAATATAGTAATGGTTACCAGGAAATAGTTATTTCTATTTTTTGTGTGAAATTATTGTTTTCAGCACGAACTATATTAAGTATTTTTCCCCAGTTCGTTAATTCGAGTGACGCAGAGTCCGGGCGAGCAGTATCTCGCCACTCGACGAATTCAGCCTTTTAAGTGACGCACAGGAAAACGACTCCTCACGTCACTCACTCCGCCAGCGAGGCCTAAGCCCTTGCTGCTGCCCCCTCTCACAGCGACCTTGGAAAACGATCAATTAAAACGAGGAAACAAAGTTACTCATTGGGCCTCGAAACAGACCATTGGTATACACACTCCAGACAGCACAAATGTGCCGTTTTCGCATGACATTAGTGAAGATTTTCGTGTTCCATTTCAATTTAACATGTGTTGAGTACAAGGCTCAGTCATCCTGCCAGGCTATCAGGGGTTTGAAAGGAATACGTAGAGGAACGAGAGTCTTTAAAAAGCAAGAAATCTAATTCCGTTTTGGAGAAATAAAGAAACGAAAATAAATTCAAGAAAGAAACAGAAAAGGCAATATGAAGCTGCAAAAAATAGGCGAGGTAATTATTTAATTCATCTCTACTCTGCTCGGTTCTCAAAGCTAAGCGCTATTTCGTGCGAATCCTATCCCAGGGACGTGACGTCACCACAGCCTTTTTTATACCAGTTTTATAAACTACCTTTTCCATTGCAGGAAATCGTTCATAAATTGGCATTTTATGCATAGCTCATCTTCTCTGTCCGTCATCTCTGCCCGTTCTCCCTGATTGACTTCATGCTCGTAATACCAGCTATGTTGCCAACTGCAAAACTGCTTTTGAAATTTGTTTCGAAAATTAACTTTGGTTTGTTTATAAATTTATAATGCTTTTATACAAAAATGTCGCATGCAACTCGTTTATGTTCCTTTATTGCATTCGTACAAAATTGAAAACGCCATTAACGTCTCTCGTTTTCAAAACATGTGATTTTGACGTGTTTATTACATTAGTTATTTATGACATACATAAACATGTATGTTTGTACAATATAACACATTACAGTACAGTGCCAGTGCTAAAAAATTTCCCTGATCCATTTCCAGTTTCCGTGAACCATTGAGCAAATGTTGAGATGGCCCCTTGTTTTGCTTCTGGGCGTAAATGTAGCTTCACTATGGGCACGTTTTGTTGAACTCTCCTTTTGCTGGTAATGGTAGGAATAGAGGTAAGTGAAAGTTACTATTTTGTTAGCAATGCAGAAAAATCATGTCTGCATACCGATCCAAATACATTTTATATACTTGGATATCCGGAAGCCGCGTCCAAGGCACAGGTACCTTTGCCACTAGCACCTGTGCACTGGACCGAATAGCCAAGTAAGTACTGACTCCGGCCGCGGAAGCCCACGCTCTCACGCACAAGTTTTCTATAACTCGAGAATGAAAATGTAGTTTTATTTCAAATATTGCTAATCTCGCGCTTTTTAAATTTTAATATTATTTATTAATCTTTAACTTTTACTCAGCTTTCAACTATTTATAGTTAAAATAATGGGAAGGGACTCTGGAACTCAAGAAAACGTGCGCAGATGATCTTCTCCCCCATACGTACGTCACATACAGTTTTTACTGTTCTTTACTAAATAAATCTACATCTAAATCAATTTTGGACCCGAGGCAATGCTAAAAACTTAGCCCCCCTCTTCCCGAAAAAAATAAGAATGTTAAAGTTGTATCAAGAAACTACACGAGTTATTTTATTTCAACAAATAACATAAATTACAACGTTTAAGCTAGAAAACGTTTTTGGAAATATATTTTGAATAATAGTTTAAAGTGAAAGTATTTAGTGATCAATAGGGAGAAGATTTTTATGCCTTAAAAAATCTTGAAATATCCTTTTAAAAATATGGTTTTATGACCTAAAAATTCTGAAATGTGCATTTAATATGCAATTAAAATTAACAATATTTCATTTCCTGCATAAAACTTTCTTGAGAAAATTCAGGAGAAGCGTGCTTGAAGTGAAAAGATATATTTTTGTGCAAACATAACATAATTTACCTTTCTTCGCGGGAGAAATACTTAAAGTGAATATTCATTTTAGTAGAGTAACAGAACTCGATTTATTCAAAACAATTTTTACATAATAATATCTTCTCATCACATTTAAAAGTAGTAATCACATTAAGCCCGACAAAAAGGTATTTAATTAATTAGTTCCGATTTCTGCATTTCTATTGGAGGCACGAATTTCTCGGCAGGATACGATAAAAAATTGGTCTGTACACGTGAGCAAGCACTTGATTGCGATTACTTCTGCGTCGCAGACATCCGCACCTTTTTTACTTTCACTACATGTGTGAATACGAGTTGTAAAGACATGTGAACATCCTCTTGTTTCAATGACAACAGTGAAATGATGAGAACGCTGCCTGTGAACCTTTGCTGACCTCCATAAAGCTTTTCCATGCGTTACGAGTACATCAGCTTCAGGCAGTATTTATGTACAATGACATCAACAAAGGGCACCTATAGAAGTGAGCTAGCAAATTAGTATGAGAAGAAGCATGGATATATTAGTTCATTTATTGTACAATACACATTACAGTGATGGAATTACGAGTAAAAAAATGGGCACTTGATGTGATTAATTTCGTCAAAGAATAGTAACAACTGTATGCAACGTATGGGGGAGAAGTAGCCTACAATCTCTGCAAGTTTTCTTGAGCTCCAGTATCTCTCCCCTCCTTTTAACCATAATTAGTTGAATGATGAATAAAAGTACTAACACAGTACCAACAACTTAATTTCTACTTTCTGGAGGTTCCTCTGTCAAGAAAATCAAATTGTGATAGTTGTGGAATATTAAGTTATGGATGAAGTACTCCAAAATTACCATTGTTCCTTTGTTAAAAAATGAGAAAAATAATATGGGGTCATTTCAATGTTCATGATACTATAATCATAATGGATAACATTATCAGCATTTGTATGAAAGTAATGTGATGGGAAAACTATTTTGCTGGCTATGTACACAATGAACTACAATTAACTTTTCTGGAGGATATGATAAGCTTAAAAAACTATTACAAGCAGTAGGTAGACATGCAAAATTTATGTTATATGCTATACATAATACAGCAATATTAATATATCTTACACATACCTGATCTCATTGTTCTAAGGTCCTCTACACACAGTCCAATTTGTCAGACCGATCGTCGGTCTGTGCACAACACTAGCGCATATACAGTTCAACCGATTTTCTCCAAAATTGACATATTCCCCATCATTCTGGTTGGTGTCTTGGCCCCTGGCATTTGAAGCTGATATTTTAATTTTGGGGGATTGGTGAAGACTAATGAATGGTACTGGTATCATTTTCATTTAGATGTATGATTTTTTGAAAATTAAAAAACAGAAAAACCAAAAACTACAAAATTGAAGATAGAGATTTTTACCTCAGACAAAGTCTATTGTATAAAATTAGCTCTCTCAAAAAAGCTATGTACAGTTTTTAAAACAGGTTTTTGCATAATTTGTGTTTGAAATCATTGCAATTTTTTTCTGTACATATGTAATAAATGACTGTAAAAACTATGATGCTAAAGCCATTTTTGGGTATTGCTCGTTTTTTCTTTGAAAACTCTCTGGAGCCATGAGTCAACTCTGTTTTCTATTCAAAAGAGAAAGAAAGAAAAGGAAAATAAAAGAAGAAGAAAAAAAGAAAGAAAGAGAGAGAGAGAAGAAAAAAAACAAAAAAACACACACACCCTTTCTTCTTTGGATAGCTAAAATTACTGTTGCATTAAAATTGAAACATGGGCCTCTCTGAACTATTAAATTGAATTAAGCATTCATATACAATTTCATTTGAACTTTACAGATCTCAGAAAATACTCTAATCATTTGTAGAATTTAGCTAATGAACTAGGGAATTTAAATTCCATTAGTGTCTAATGTGGAACAAATGCATTTTCATTCCCTTTTGGTAAACCATCTCTAACATTTGCTTGACTAAAAAAAATCTATTTATTTATTTAGCCATCAGACTTATACATTGATAAGTTTCAGGCATCATACATTAAATCTATTGTCCATGACAGGAATTAAATGACTATGATTTAATAGCTAGAGTAGCATCATCACCAATGCCATTTACTTTCTCTAACAAATATATTAAACATGTTATAGATCTCACGCATATACACATTATAGATCTCATAACATAAATGTATTAGTTCACTTCTACAAATCAAATTTAATCAACATTAATAAAGCAAGCAGCTATTTCAAAATAAATATGGAACAGACAGAATCATGAAACTATTGTATAATGAACATTTTGGGATAAGGAACGGGTTATATCATACAAATGTTTAGAAATAAATATTTTATTGAACATTCATTGATGTCCTAAGTAAATAAGGGACAAAAATCATTCTCCACCCTAAGTCAATTATTTTCTTTCAATTTTCTTCAGAATATGGTAGAAGAAAGTGTAAAAACAATTACTTTTATGTAATCACAATTTCATCAACATCAGTATCGACCTACATTATTCATAAAAATACAACACAAGAGCAATTTTCAATTTTTTAAATTGCCACTCTTTTGCAGTCACTATGAACTCAAAATTGCTCTGACACAATTTCTTCTTATTTAACAACACCATAAACAGATAAACTAGTATTGTTTAATATTTAATGACAGTAGTTGCATCGAGGGTGACATTTAACTCCGTTTAGACCACATTGGCAGCCTCCAGTTGTATCTCCCTTCCCCTAAAATGAAATGCAAAATGTATTAAATAGAGGGCAGATAAATCATAGTTAACATGTTGTTTCATTCTTCAACTTACTACTTTGAAAAGGGTACACAAGCAAAATTGTATCTAAGTGCAGTGTGCCAGTAAAGTCTCTCAGCACCGAGCTGAGCCAGGGCCTCTTATTAAAAATTACACTTATGTTGATAACAAACTAGACCTCCGGGAAATAAGTGAAGGGGACAATACTTCCAGCATCTATGATTGTGGTGAGCAGGCAATTTACAAGCCACAGTTCAACCTACTAACATAATTTCTGTTGCAAACACACTCACCAGCACATTGTCACTATGGAGAGACTTTCCTAACACGCTAGACTTAGATCTATAGTTATTACCACTATTAGAATATGAGCTAATCAAAATAAACCAAAAAACTCACAGTAAATGGCTAATAAAATTAATATTAGTTGCATTAAAACAAAGCAATGAACTGTCCAAAAAATAAGGACTCAGAATTGTGAGTTTAATACACATCCACATATGGCAAGACAGTTTTGACTTCAAGATCATGAAAGAAACACCAATTGTATTATGCATTGAATCAAATCATCCATTTATTATGATCAGTCTCTGATTGTTATTCTTTTTCATATAAGAACTTCAGGACACACACATTTTTTGTATCTATTGCAGAAGAATTAGTAAAAATTATATATTTCACAGGAGTCAACAATTTTGAAGATGATATTTTTCTCAAAATTTTTAATCTACTTAATGGCACATTTTTAGTATGCATAATGAATGTTTAGTAGGATTGTTTTTTCTAGGAATCTACTTCAACTAAGCGCATTGTCCTATTTTCTTCATTGGATAGCCTGTGTTAGCATTGCTCTATGACTGCAGCTTGAGACCTATTTACACCTTTTGATATCTACTTTGCTGATCTACAATAAGCTGCAATTCTATTATTAATAAAAGAGTATGAAAGCTGGTTACACATTACACTCTGTCCTTAGTTACTTTACAAAGAAAATGTGAACTGTAACTCAAGGGTTTTCATTTCTTGAAAAATGCCAACTCAAGCAATGTACAATAGAAAAAATACTCTATTTTAATTTAATAAGAATTTGGAAATGAAATTGTGTGTTACAGTAATACATTACATTAATGAAAATAAGATATCTTCAAAAATAAAGAATGAGAAAGTATCCAAAATTTGAAGTTTAGTACTTCTGTCTGGAATATATAATGTATGCTTTCAGTCAAGTTCCATACAAATTGTATACCAAATTTGTAAGCTGTTTATTTCAAGCTATGATCTCCAGTTGCTACACTTACCCCAGGTCCCCATCTTGGGCCTCGTGTCACCCAGCATATCTCCGTCTTGCACATTGAGCACCGCAACCAATCACAGCCCCACTTCTTCATGAGAACAACTTGGCATGTGGGGCAGGCCATTGCTTCACCACGAACCACCATCTCCTTCATTATAAAAAATTGTTCATCAATACCTATCTTCATACTTTCAATCAGCATCGAATTTAAGGATAAAATTCAGAGATTTACACTTACAAAAATGGCCTGGCAAGAATATTAGGGCATCATAATTAACATGTACCTGTTTATTTGTTGGAGTATAAGCAAAAGAAAGCTACTGTGCACTTCTCAAAAGATAAAATAAATCTCGTCTTATACTAATTTATTTATTTATTTATGAAGCAACAAGGAATACACTCAACTCAAAAGTTATATACAGGTACCTCAGAATAAATTTTACAAGACACATGGCATGTAGTCCAAGATAATTACTTTTTTCAAATTAACATGCGATGGAATTCATTTAACGAAATGGAATTAGATGTATGATTTGCCCCTAGTAGGTAGGCAATCCACCATGCTTCAGGGTTTGGCGGGAATACGAAATCTCTTCAACGGCGCCAGAACATGATTTTTTACTTTCCCGTATAGATACGGAGTAATATACGTAGTGTAGGGAAAGTTATGTAATGCTGCCCTACAAAACGGCGGATTCGGCAGAAAAAAATCATTTTCAGGTCCTGATAACGAAAAAGTGGATAAATCCAGTTGCTAAATTATGGGGAAAATTCTCTAACAAGTTTGGTGAAGCCAGAATCCCTGTTTCATGGGTCCTTGATACCGAAAAACTAATTGGTGGCAAAAGGTCCGTCCATCTGTCTGTCAGTCCGTCTGGAAACACCACTACTGCCTAAATCATTCTTACAATTATTTCCAAAAGAAAGGAACCCTTTGTCGATCTGGTTCAAGTCAAAACTTTGAGATTTTGAAAAACATTCTTTAAAATTTGGGGGTACTTTACATGAAGCTCCTAGTGCATTTTCAAAATTTTCTCAAAAATGGCTCCAATTTTTTTCTTTAAATTTCTTGTAAGAATAGAGTAAAGTACACATAAAGGTATATATGTACGATTTTTTACTGTTTACTCTAAATTTTCAAAAATTGCAAAGGTTGAATTTTTTCCGCGTCTTCCTGCAACTACAAAATTGAAGATAGTGGTTTGGCGTTCATATAAAATTTGCTGTCCATAATTAGTTATTTCATTAAGTCATGTACGTTTTTTTGAAAATTTTGGTAGTTTTCGAGCAATATTGCGTGCAATATTAGCAATTAAAAGAATTTACAAAAACAAGATTTTCTCAAATCAGCTCCAAACTTTTTTCTTTCAACTTTTGGTAGAAATAGTGCTAAAAGGTGCTATGTGTGCTATGAGATGACATAAACGCCATATTGCTCCATTCTTTAGTTTTTTCAAAAATTACACAAATGTAATATTTTTCAAAGTTAATATGCACATTTCCAGCAATTAGTAAACACTATTTATTTGTAATTTAAAGTGCTTCAAATGTCTTCAAATAAAGTTTTTTGAAAACTCAATAGTTTTCTGGGAACAAGACCTTCAAATTTCGAATTTACGGTGGCGCTTGAACGCCTTTTCTTTTAAATCGGCTCCAAATTTTTCAAAGAAAATTGCCATTTAGGACGAGGTTTTACTGTTTTTTAGTATCCTTAATATAATATTTCCATTCGACTATTAGAATACCAAGAAATTAAGATATTTTCAAAAAAATGTTGTTTGGGCGGCGGGAAAATGGCAGCTGGCAAGAGTATGTGGCAAGTCCGAATAGCTAGCGCAGACCAAAAGAAATAGAAAACTAACGCGGGAAATTCTGCCATTCTGTATCACCACTAGTTTTAAAATTTATTTCGTAAAAAAAGTGAAATCTTTATGTGAAGTATGGAGAAGTATAAATCTGCGCACGTTTTCTTGAGCTCCAGAATCCTTTCCTTACGCTTTTACTATATAAATTAATATTTATGTTAATAGTTCATTTAACAATTATGTTAATATAATGGTAATAGTAGAATGAATCTTTCCGAACACCAATGCACAATGGGTTGCCTATTAATCAGGGGTAACTACCACATGTGTAATTTCGTTAAATGAAATTTCTCATCACCAGGGCTCGGATTCTGTTCACCTAAAAGTTCTTTGAAAACGACCCATAAAATGTCTTTAAAATATGAGAAATATGACGCATATGATTACTTAAACATAAGAGGACATAAGCATATTTTTTATAAATACTGAAACATTTATATGAAAAAGTTTGTTTATTCAACTAAAAATCATTTTAAATAAAATGTATTTATATAAAATTAAATTTAATATAAAGTCTTTATTTAAGGAGGAATTGTAATCCTTAGCTCCGATCTTCAAGCCGTTGGTTATGAAATGTCAAGGAAGTTACTGAAGATACATGCAATTTTGAGAGTTTGAAAAACAGTCCACTGTAGTAATGAAATTCATTATGAATTGATGATACAATAAAACTTTTTTTAGTGTGTCATTGTAAATTTATGAAACATTCAGTTCACAAAAAACATGAAATGTAATAAAATGCATCAAAATGACATGGATATAATGAAAAATATATTTCACTATATCCTAACCAATAATACTGCTCAGTACAAACAAAGTACATATATGCAGATATCTTGAAGTGTCTACTTTCATCTTCTGAGCAATGTAAGTATACTAGTAATGCAATAATTTAAGTAAAATACTAATAAGTTACAACAGTTACATAAATATAACTGTTGTAACCACAGAAATACAATTCACATATTTACATTCTTTTTAGAGGGTAAGAAATCACTTTTAAGAGGGTAAAGAAATTACCTAACTGAATGTTAATACAACCACTTAAATGCCGATCAAAGTTTTTATTACTTAAACAATTATTGTATGACAAAATGAAATTTGAAATAAAAAACAGAACAAAACTTTACTTTAAATACAAAGGCAACATGTGACAGATTTTTTATATTCAATAACATCATCAGAATGTTAAGTTCATTTTCACACAGAATGTTTCTTTTATATTGTAAGAGAGACAATGGTAAATTTGAGATCATGAATATTCAATATGTATATGTTAACATGAATTTCTTATTTTATTTCTTTCACACGAAATATTGTTTACTACAAATGTAATATCTACCTCGAGCATCTCTTTTGTACGACGAGCATCAGCATTGGTCTCTGACTGTTGTTGAACTTGTTCCTGATACTGTTTACAATTAATTCCTTCATGGATAGCCTGAAAATCAACAAGATGTACAGACATAAATGTAGAGAAGTATAAGACTGTTAAATGAATAAAACATATTTTTCCTATTTCAAAGACATTACCATTACCAGTAAATTTAAAACTATAAAATTCTTTAAATTCTCTTCTAATTCAAGACATAAGTTCATGTAGAACATTAAAAATTACTAAGTATTTTATTTATTGTTTATTAAATTACTTTTAATTAAGAATAAATATGTACTATTTAATTTTGATACTGTTCATATATGATAAAACAATCAAATGAAGTCGCTATTTTATTTATTTAGTCATCTTTACATCATTTTTGTGAAGTGTAACTGATACCATGAGACCATTATCATTGTGCTGCGGAATGCTCTGCCCCCTCCTATTAATCCTCCATGTGACCAACTTTTGTTGAAGAAAGGTCAAAAACAGCCTTCTCACATTTCATTTGTTTTAATACATTTTAGCTATTTTATCACATAGACTTTTCTCATTTATTATTTTATACTGTGACTCATGATGCATGCTCATATGGCAAGAAACATCATAAAAATTTTTGTAATGACTGAATAAATAATATAGTGACCTCATTTGATTGTCTTTAATATCTGTGGAAACTACTAAAATTAATTAAATTAAATAAACAATTCTTGATTAATTTTTAATCACATTCAAATATGAAAAAATGCACCTTAGTGCTATTATGCTATTATAATGTTAATATGGAATAAAAAGTTTCATATGTTCTGAGTAAAATTTCATTTATAAGTTAGAACAAAATTGAATTAAGACACCAACTGATTTTGTGTAAATTCTTGTCCCTTGAATAGAAAATTTCTATTAAGCAGTAGAATTAAAAATTCTTCAGTATTATATTTCACATTTGTAAACATAAGAACTTCCAACTTAGAAAAAAGAATGAAAAATAAGCAATAAAAATTTTGAGTAAGAAACCTTATATAATATTAAAGATCATTTGAAACATTTTTATTGTAGCATCTATTAGAACATTAATTAACAGAGTTGTACTAGTGCTACAATATAAAACTACAACAATTGCTGTTCATTGTAAGGGCTTCATGCTACTACATAGCTATTAGAAACAAGCACAGCGACTACATAGCACACTCCGATACTGTAAGAAAGCACAGATTCTCATGTAGCGATGTGAAGAGCATGTAAATGAACAGTGTATTTCCAGTGACATATCTCCATTTCTGTTTGTTTTGTATTTTTATGTTTCAATATATTCTAAAGATGTTTCTCCATCATGCTGCTAAATATAACGATCAAAACTGATGTTTCTCTTATATCAACCCCACAAATGTGTAAATTTCCCCATGCTTTGTGATGAAGTCCATCAGAACAAAAACTTGAATTCAATTTAACAAAATTCTGCTACGTTTCGTAACAACATTTTCTTAGCCATTTACTGGCGTCCAACGTGAAGTAATCCTCCGTTAAGTTGCTCAGTCATCGTCAGTCATTGCCTTTTATCCCTTCGGCCAGGGGCTCGGTGCCGTTAAATCCCGGGGTTCCCAGACGTTCACCCATCCAGAAACCCGCGAGGACTTGAATTGCTGAACGTCCGTGACTTTAGGGAGCATAGTTAAGCAATTCGGCTATTGACGTCGGCTATGACAAAACCTATTACTTTTTATCTGAAGTAAAGGGTGATGTATATTTATAAAAGCGGCGGCTCGTGCTAATGTTTCACAGTTGCACTACCTCCAGATAATCTAAAAATTTCTTCTATGTCCGAAATATATATTTTCAATTTAATGACATTCAATATGTAGTATAATGCAGCAATATTGATGAATATAAAATCGTTTTGAAATTATGGAGCACCCGCTCCGGCAGAGCACAAATGTCACGACGCTCTTAATTCATTCTACTACGTTTACTCTTCGGCCACGCGAACCTATGCCTCAACATTGGGCCATATTAGTTGTTTTCGAATTGCGAAACGATCTGATGGAGCTACCGCACCGGCTTACACTGCAGAGCGATGGGGACACAGTTTGGGCGTGGGGGTCTATAGCAGCATTGGGAAACTCATCTGTCTTAAAGGACTCCGAGGGGGGATATCAATTTTCTGACTTCGTCTAAAACTAGCTGCATCTTAATTTTATGAATTTCATATGTTACTGAAAGTACACAAGATCAATCAATTCTTGAGGGTATTGAATGAATTATTTATAATGTGATGATTTATGATGTTTGGGGAATTTATTTTCATTTGATGTTACGTTTGTTGATTCAAAATGTGCATTTGAAGAGACTTTTGTGTAAAGTTGGGCGTTCTGGAAGAAAAAACTCTTTCTGTCCCTCTTCTGCACGCGGTGGGGTGCAATGCTCTTCCAAGCAACACCGGCAGTTATTTTGCTAGCGTCTTTGTGAATACGATTGTGTGTGGATCTCGAGAGATAGTTACTGTATACGTGTTCTCGTTGCTGCTGGTGACAAATCATCTTCCTTGAGGAAGTAAGAATCTCTACCCATTTAAGAGAGAATACATTCCTAAAAAAATTACAGATATTTCAATACTGCAATATATACCAAGGAAGTGAAATTTTCGAAATAAAATAATTTTATTTATCATCACTAGTAGCAGCAACAACAATTAAAATCATGAAATGCGCTACTGTAAAATGTCCAAACTGTGGTGCTTGAGTGCAATCACTGCTGTAATTTTGTTACTTAGTATTTGTTTTGTATGCAATTGTCTCTTTGTAGAATTAATACAAAAATTCGAGTGTTCACTGAAAATCAAAGTCAGAACCATGCACGAGGGAGGTGAATATAACCGACACGAACCTACACAATGTTACGTAAGTAATGTTATGTGTAGGTCCGTATTTATGTATAGTAAAATTTCATTAAACCAGGTTGTAATTAATTTACACGAATTGTTTACTTTTTATTATATAATAGTATTCTGACTTTTGGAAATAATATTCCCGTCGTTCTAGGGAATTGCAGCCCGCAGTTTGTTGGGCGCAGCAGTCACCACTGGTTTAAATTTTAAACAAAACACTTTTCTATTTTTTTCATTTTTATTATTATTATTATTGTTTCTATTATTATTATTTATTTTTTCCATTATTCATTGTGAATTATCAGTTTTTCGGTGAATAATCCCGAATTTTTTTTACCCACAGCCAAAGATATGGTAATAAATTAAATTATAACAAAAACACTTGTAAAAAATGAATTATATTTTGAATGAAAAGTACTTTATAAACAATATTAATTATTTTCGGCTTGCTTACAAAAATTGACACAAATACAAAACAAATAATCATTGGTACATCGCTGAGGTGCCCATCCTCTCCCTTGGGTTAAATGGTAACTATAAAGTCCGAATCTGATTACTTTAGCTTCCAGAAAAATTGCAATTCTTGGATATACATTGCTTTAGAAATAAGCTTTTCAAATGTCTAATTTATAGTAAAATATTTATAACAGAAAAACATTCAAAATTGTAGCCCAAAGATAAAATAGTTTATAAACATCTTCAACCTATTTACCAAAATCTAAAATGTTTGTACCAATCATTATTAATTATTTTTGATTCATTGGTGAACTAAGAACAACCCCCAAATAAATTTCCATTTCTCCATAAATTTCAATTAGCTGGTGTCCTCTAATCATGGTTCACGTAGAACCTGATTTCATCCCCCCTTCTTGCATTTGATAATCTTCTGGGTCACTTCTCTATTACAGAGCCTACTAACATTAATCCTGAATAATCCCCTTTTACACCTACGACCGCTTCGAGACATGCAGGAAGAGTGTCAATTAGATTCTGGATGGTTCCGACAGGCAGGGTCGGCGAAACACATAAATTTCAGGTAGGTAGTACCACCTAGTTCATCGAGTCATGTAATTTTTTATTGTATTTGTTTTCTTAAAGAAAAAAATGATAACCTCATTAATTATGTAGAGTAGTTTATCCAACATTTTAATTGGTAATTTCTATAAAACCATTAATAACTTATTTCTATTTATTATTTACTTGCCAGCAGCAGAAAGAATTACTTCTACACCCGTTTTTAAACTTTTCATGTTTGCATTATCATTTTCGAGGTTAAGTCCAATGCACTCGAAGGCTGCAGCGTGCTCCTCTTTCGCGCTTAACTGAAATATTAATAAGTTCAGTCATTTCTTCGTTTACATCGGTGCCCTCGAACAATAAACCGGTCCAATATCGGTTCTTTTGGATACAAAGGGACACAGGAACCTCGCCATAAACACATTGCGCGAAGTCATAACTGCTTCGCGCGTGAAGTTTGAGTATTGAACAATGCTTTTTAACGATTTCTAAAATCGTTTTTCTATCAGTTTGATGGTGGCAATAAATGCGTTAAATTGGATTTCCGCCAATATTTGTCAAAATTCCAGGTGGGTACCCACCTGAAATATTTTCACGTGAATAGTACCACCTCTTCCGCCGGCCCTGCCAGCAGGAATGTGGAGCCATGCCGACTCTAGTGCCGTGGCCAGGTACGGTAGGTTCCTCGGTTGTGGATCCATGGCGTGAACGTCCCGATGGTCGAGATGGTCAGACACATTCTCGACTGGGTTTAAATAAGGGGAGTTAGGTGGCCGGGGGAGTTCTGTAAACTCAACCTGGTGCTCTTCGAACCACGTACGTACACTGCGAGCTGAATGACACGTTAGATTATCCTGCGGGTAGACGCGGTCTTGTTGAGGAAAATTGATTTGTATGTAGGGGTGGTCATGGTCCCAATAATAGTTGCATACTTCTGTTTATCCATTGTGCCTTCAAGAATGACGAAATCACCCGGGGATTGTCACGAAAACATTTCCCACACCATCACGCTCCCCCTTCCGGCCCGGGCGTCCGGTGATTGTTGCAGGGTTTTGCGTTCAAACGTTTCACCCCGTACACAACAGAGACAATCTGTCTCATGGAGCAGAAAACATGAAGTATTCATCTGAAGAGGCCACCTGTCGCCAATCTGTGAGCGTCCAGGCTCATCTATTGGCGTGCAAATTGCAGCCTTCGTCGTCGATGAACAGCAGTCAGCATGGGTGCACGAACCAGGCTCCTGCTGCCGACGCCCATATGCAGCAACGTTCGCTGAACGGTTGTTGAGGACACTCTGCCGGTAGCCTCTTTGTTCATCTGGGCAGTGCTCTACAATTATCTATGCTTAGCCGTTCGTACACATCTCCGAAGGCGTCGTTCTCCCCTGGTATTTATGGCCCCTGGTGAGACACAGTTGCCTCGGCGCCGGTTCTGATATCGCCATTTTGCCATGCAAGGTACCTTCAATCGCTGCGGCAAGCGAACACTCTCCAAACTTAGACGTTTCGGAAATGATTCCGCCCTTGCCCGAAAGCCAATGATCATGGCGTTATGGACATCCAATAATTCGCTTCGTTTTTCCATTACAACTGTTTTCCGTTTTCACCAGACACGCTTTATTTACCCTCCTTACAGTGCTGCCACCTGCGTCTTTAAGGTTATAGCACGGTTACGTCAAACAGGCTGTAGTCACATTAACGAGACTGGACTGCGTATAACCCAATGAAGTACATATCTTGTCCATCTGTTCGAATACGTATGCGACTGTCCCAGTCATCAATTCATTTCCTTTGCTATCTCAATCACATCTACCAGCACATGCAATTGAAACCATTTGTTTTATTTCTGTAATCGGTGTCCACGTTTCATACACATTTAGCATCAAGTGAGACTCACTGATTGTATATTTAATGTCTGATACACATTGCTAACTTGCTTTTAAAGTTCTTCCAAATAATCTCCATTCTATTTCACATCATTTCATTTTCTTTCTGACCTCTCTCTTAGACATTTTCATCTGTCATAAATAAATATTTCAACATTCCATCACTCCCACCTTTTACCCTATTTTTATAGTGTAGCAAATTTTATTTACAATAAATTAACATCAACTCTTATCCCACAGGACCTAAAATTCTAAATTTTTGATCACAAGAAGCGACTGTGATGTAAAGATATTAGACGGAAATTAAAAACAAAATGTAAAGTAAAATAAACAGTACTTACTTGGCTATCCGGAAGTACCAGGGCACAGGTGCCATGGTCGCGGCGTCTCCCGGATAGCCAAGTAAGAACCGACTCTGGCCGCGGAAGCCTACGCTCTCACATAAAATAAACAAAACATTCTCAAAGGAAATGGAAGGATCACTTGACGAATATTGTCATCAATAACAACAGAATTTGGGGCAATGTGGGTACGTACAGTTAAACTCTATTGGTTTTAATTTCACGGGTTACCATATTTTTTTCAAGAAAGCAGATTGGTGCTCTTTAGGAACTTGTAAATTCATTATGTAAATTTATGCTAAAAATTTTTTGGATTCCCATGATGTTACAAAACTTTCTTTCTACACAAAATAATAAAAAAAGAGTTAATTGCTTCTTATACTCACCTGGCATGTCAGACAATTAATTACTCGGCATACAGGGCAACGAAATTCATTTACGTTGTCTTCAAAAATGCACCAACCACGACAGTCAGGGGTTTTGCAGTGAAAAGTATTGCCGATTTTGTTTTCAGCCTGAGCAACAGACTTGGCTAAATGTTGTTCATAAACGTGTTGAGGAACTAACTGCAATCAATAACACAAATTACTCACTTCACATTACAATATAAGATTTTGAAGGCCATCCTTCAAGAGACTTACAGCTTTAATTTCTCTTTCCTGAAGAACACTATCACAGGCATAATTATTATCCCTAAATGGGCACTTCACTTCAGCTTCTTCATTGAACTGTACAGTGTTTACCAAACAGGGTCTGTAGATAAATAAAAATGTGAAAACAGTAATTTAAGGTCCCAACATGAAAGTTCATTCATTGGATTATAAAATAATCTTACTTGCAGAATGTGTGAAGACAATCACGAAGAACTACTCCTTCATGACGATCACAAGGCGTAAAGCAGACAGAACAATCAAAAGGATCTGTGTTGGGAACTAGATCTGTGTTGTCGAGGTTGACCAATTCTTGATAATGTTCATTCTGCTCTGGGGGTGCTTTAGCATTGGCTTCTGCCTAACAAACAAAAAAATACTACTCAAATCTACATCCAACAACAATATAAAAACAATTAGTGGCACAACATGCTTAGCTAGCGGATGCTTTCTTGTATTATTTATAACTGTTATATAAAATCAGTAGCAGCAGGTTCGTTCATGAACTGGATGTGCCAACAATATGCACAAGTAAAATTATCAAATATATCAAATAAATATATAGCAATTCCACTATGCTTTCCTGATTCCAGTTTTTCAGTTCTGATAACTGAACCACTGTATCCCCTATTAGCAGATCAACACATTAATACCACCAATACCAAGTCTGACTTCGTATACAGAAAAGAAGAAAAAAATTACAATAAAAAACTTTTAAGATTTCGAGAAACTTTATAAAAAGTAATTTGAAGTATATGATCACATGTGCATTAAATTATAAAATACAGCAGTGTTGTAAATAGTAACAAATATTTCTAAAAAAATACCACACGTGCAATTAAAAAGAATTAAAAACTTTTAATCAAATTGACATAAATGTTTTTTAGTGCACTGTGCTTTATTTATACAAAAAGTCTCAAGGAACAAATATCAATGCATTTTTAAGAAAATTATGTTTAGGTAATTTTAGAAAATTCTCATAATTTGACATAAAATTACCCCAAATCTACTAATGTTAATATGAAGGAATAGATTAAATTTAGAAAGCAATCTGGAACTTCAATAATGAAGTTATAGGGCAGGTTTGAAAATAATTAAACTTTTACAATTTTCGAAAATTAAGTGGTCTTGAAGAAAACTGAACCTTTATCTTATTTACAATCACACTTCATTCTAATTGAACAACGCACAACATCGCACTTCATTTAAAGAAAAACGAGGAGCATTTTTTATGAAAATTTTGAAAATGATGTACGTTCTTCATATAAAATAAAAA